CTTTCAACTGCATCTTCTGTCTCTCCGCATCATGTGACAAGACCCAGTCTTTTCCTTGCCAATAGTTATTGCAGCACCCTTTCAATTGCATCTTCTGTCTCTCCGCATCATGTGATAAAACCCAGTCTGTTCCTTGGCAATAGTTATTTCAGCACCCTTTCAACTGCATCTTCTGTGTCTCCGCATCATATGATAAGACCCAGTCTGATTCTTGCCAATAGTTATTTCAGCACCCTTTCAACTGCATCTTCTGTCTCCGCATCATATGACCAGACCCAGTCTGATTCTTGCCAATAGTTATTTCAGCACCCTTTCAACTGCATCTTCTGTGTCTCCGCTTCATATGACAAGACCCAGTCTGTTCCTTGCCAATAGTTATTTCAGCACCCTTTCAACTGCATCTTCTGTGTCTCCGCATCATATGACCAGACCCAGTCTGTTCCTTGCCAATAGTTATTTCAGCACCCTTTCAACTGCATATTCTGTGTCTCCGCGTCATATGATAAAACCCAGTCCTTGTGACCATCTGGAGAAACATAACCTGCGTGAGAATACCACACCAAGGCTAAACGTCGTGGACATGTCTGAAAATATTGTCCAGATGACCCCTGATAAATTTACAGGAATGAATATCATGGAAATGACATGACAATATTGATCTTAAGACGAACTTAATGCTTTTTCGAAAGAACAATGGCTACTGTGTTGGGATTCCAGAATAATTAGGAGCATTACATACTATAAGCAGACACACCATGATAATAAGCATAAATATGTACATTAAAACGGTCTGCATAGCTATCATTTGCAAAATATGGAATTTTGAGAGGAAATTTGACGGCCATCATGCATTTTCGGTGTCTGACATTTTTTTCTTAGTTACTCAAGACGACTGACCATGAAAATATTTTTGCTTGTATCACCATTTTAACCTGTCACAGGCCTTACTAAGGCTTTGAATGCTGTAACCTTACCAGAGTACTGTTGATCAAGAGTCGTATGATATTCTTCAAAATCTTTGTGGAAAAGCTGGGGCTGCAGGAATATTGCTCCACATAAAGAGAAAGTTGAATATCGGAACGTCGATGTCCTCTTGTCGAAAAGCTACGAACAGCCGTAGACGCACGTGCAGATTTCGTGTCATTGCGAGACGCACGTGCAGATTTCGCACCGTTGCGAAACCCACATGCTGAGGTCACCGGTTTCATTGAACCGAGTTCACGACTGCAGGCGATATTTCATCTCCTATACAAGTTACGGCCCCCTCGGTATGTCACCTCATGTAAGGGTTTACAATCGCTGGAAATCCCTCGTTGTCTAGATCTAAGTGGGGCGGTCGGGTAGCCTAGTGGTTAAAGCGTTCGCTCGTCACGCCGAAGAGGTTCGATTCCCGACACGGGTACAATGTGTGAAGCCCATTTCTGGTGTCCCCCGTCGTGATATTGCTGGAATATTGGTAAAAGCGGCGTAAAACCATACTCACTCACTCACTCACTCACTCACTCACTAGATCTAAGTATGAAACAGGTGAGTCGGTTTCATTGGTCTCTTAACATTCTAGTTCAGGTGGGTAAAACAGTAGAAGGGAATTTGCAATTTAACCATTATTGAACGGTATCAGATCATCGATATACCTGAAGCTGAAGTTCCCTTGTTTTCATTCAACCAATCCATTCAGGATCATCTTCTGTTTTGGGCCATGTTTTGGAATACACATCGACAGCACCCATACTAATCTTCTTTCAGAAGAGATTTCCTAATATTATGGGAAAGGGTTTTATCGCTTTGTTAAAATAATTAAAGTTGTGATCCCAACTGGTTGTTTGTTTGTTTGTTTGTTTGTTTGTTTGTTTAACGCCGCACTCAGTAATATTCCAGCTATATGACAGCGGTCTGTAAATAATCGAGTTTGGACCAGACAGTCCAGTGATTGACATCATGAGCATCGATCCACGCAATTGGGATACGATGACATGCATCAACCAAGTCAGCGAGCCTGACCACCCGATCCGGTTAGTCGCCTTTTACGACAAGCATGGGTTGCTGAAGACCTCTTCTACCCCGGATCTTTACGGATTCCCAAATGGTATTTTGGCCCATATTTGAAAAACTGACAAAGGTTGTTATTGTCAACAAAAGGGAAGTCACCTGCAATTATATGAGTGAGTGAGTGAGTGAGTGAGTTGGGTTTAACGCCGCTTTTAACATTATTCCAGTCATATCACGGCGTGTCAGCTTAATGTGGGAGGAAAGCCCGAAGTGATGCAGGTCGCAGACGTTTACCACTTCGGTGAAACCCACGAGCACGGGTATGGTGCTGACAAACCTAGAAACATAATCGGGGCGAACCCACAATCACAGGTTTCTGGCGTGCCCAAGGGACGCAATTCTGCACACCGAATCGCGGCGCCTTAGACGACTGGGCCACCCGTGCCCCCCTGCAATTATATGACCAACAGGGTGGTAGCAGTACGAGTCTTGGCAGCCACAAGTAGTGGAATTTACACCCTGAGTTGCCATGTTCACGTTCTTCAACAGAGCAGACTGGTGGGATTCAATTTGTAAATCATGTGTCTACCTATTGGTTGTTGTGTCAATCCTGTGTCTACATATTAGTTGTTGTGTGTAAAGCATGTGTCTACATATTAGTTGTGTGTCAAGCATGTCTCTACCAATGTTGTTGTGTGTTAATCATGTGTTTGTACTAGTCCGGTCTAATGCCGATGTTATAGTGCTAGCAACTGAGATACCATGCTGCTGTTTAACACGAATATCCCACTCAGACACCGTATACCGACTCCGAGCCGACCAGTCCTTGTTTTGGCCCCCAAGAAGTACCATATCTTAAAGTATGACGTGGCCAGGGATCGAACCCACGACATTCCGCTCTCCGGGCTGACACTCTATCCACTAGACCACGGAGGCGGTCCTGTAAATGTGTAATGTTGTTGATCACTTGTCGATAAAGGTACCAGCATCGGCTGATTGATTTTTGTTGTAAATGCCAACTCAGCAATATTCCAGCTACATGACAGTGGTCTGAACATAATCAAGTCTGGACCAATCAGTCCAGTGATTGACATCACGAGCATCAAACTACGCAATTGGGATACGATGACATGCATCAACCAAGTTAGCGAGCCTGACCACCCGACCCAGTTAGTCGCCTCTTACGACAATCATGGGTTGCTGAGGACCAATTCCAAACCGGATCTTCATGGGAAAAAGGTACTAGCAAATGTATTGAAAGGTTCATAAGCCATCCCTGTCTTCATTGATATAACTCTAACACCTTCTAAATGTTACTTGAGACATCCTAATGGTATCGCGATATTTACAACACAACTGGATACTGTGTTTCATAATACAAGAGTACTAGCTTCTTCTTCCAACAATGTACATGCTCCGTCAGTGGTCAGTTTTGTTTGTTTGTTTGTTTGTTGTTTAACGCCGCACTCAGCAATATTCCAGTGATATGATGGCGGGCTGTAAATAATCGTGTTTGGACCACACAATCCAGTGATTGACATCATGAGCATCGATCTACACAATTGGGATACGATGACATCCATCAACCACGTCAGCGAGTCGGACCACCCGTTCCCGTTAGTCGCTTCTTACGAAAGTCGCGGTCGGCATGAGAGCATATCCTCTATTTCTTAGGCTCATTTGAGCGCAAAAGAAAGTTTGAGTAATATTGTGATTCACACAACGACCTTAGCTTAATGCGGCACCGACGTTAAGACGCAAGACGTTTCTAAGACATGGTTTCACAATAGTCGTCAACGTCTTACACGTGCATCACTTTCCTCCCACATCAAGCTAACACGCCATGATGTAACAGAAATACCGTTCAAAGAGGCATTAAACCCAACTCATTCACTCAAGTTGAAAGTATGGCATCATTAAGTTGTCAATGAGCAAGGCAGTATTTGTAAGAAAATGGTACTTTTATTTCAACAGGCAATTGATTGTACTCATTCATGTCTCCGATCGTACGTCAATTTTACGGTTATACTCTTTTCCAAAGGCAGTCGTTGTTCAAAGTATCTTTTCAAATCGGTCGCATGAGTATTATCAGTCGTAAGTCGCTTAAATATGAGCAGATATCAAACTCACTTACTTCTGTAATGTAATGTAATGTAATAATTTCATAGTGTAAACGGTTACATCGGATTAAGCGATGCCAGAGATCCGATAATCGAAAAACTATTCAGAGGGCTAACAAACACTTACTTGAGGGCCTATGGACAAACATAGATGTACAGTAAACTACGTATATAACGAACACGCTTATCTTAACGAACACTCGTTGATAAAAGTGGCAAAAATCCTCTGCATGCCTCGGAATTTTTCCACTTTTATCAACTCGTGTTGATATATTTGATATCAAAAGACACTCGGGTGAGATTCTCTATATCTTGAATATTTTGTTAATCTGGAAGTCACTTAGAGTAACTGGTTGATAACGTCAATACACATTCAAAAGAATATCCCTTGATACGATAATCTTGAATATTTTGCTAAATCCGGAAGTCACTTGGAAGGCCACCATCTGGATAAACGAAGTTTTATCTGTATATAAACTAAGTCAAAAAACGAGGATTTCATTTTATGACTATAGTTAACCTGTCGTCGCTGGTGCGTATTGCAACACACACCCTTCCAATTGTGTGTTTTCTTTAACTTGTGTCTTCATATATGAGACCCGTGAAGATCCGGGGTAGAATAGGTCTTCAGCAACCAATGTTTGTCGTAAGAGGCGACTAAGGGATCGGGCGGTCAGGCTCGCTGACTTGGTTGATGCATGTCATCGAATCCCAATTGCGTGGATCGATGCTCATGATGTCAATCACTGGATTGTCTGGTCCAGACTCGATTATTTATAGACCGCCGTCATATAGCTGGAATATTGCTGAGTGGGGCGTTTAACAACAAACAAAAAACAAAAGAATATATAACAACTGTGAGGTGGAAATAAACACAAAAAAACGTTCAGATATATTGTTGTTATTTATCTTCCTTGGCTTTGACCTTGTAAAGTTTGTGGAGAAAAGCAATGTTACGGATAACACTATGAATGAGAATATTGTACTTGTATCTATGCCACGAAACATACCATAAAACAATCAATCATTTGTCATCACAACTACATATCACGTAATTGAAAAACACTGTCATCAATCATGACATCTGGCATAAACTGTGGTCACCATAGTCGGGGGCACGTGGGTTCCGGGAAGACATCAAGATACTGCACGTACGGTCAATCATCAGAATGTCCAGTCAAATCAGTTGGTACCCAATCAATCCCGGGGGCGTCCAGTCAATCACTGAGGAGTCAATTATCAATCGCTGGGATGTCAAGGACGTTAAAATTATGGCTTGAAAGTCAATAACTGAGACGTCGATCTTGGGAGTCATAAAGTCTGACGTCATTCTGGTGGAAGTCCTGTCAATCGCTGAGACTTCCAGTCAATCACTGGGACCTCCTGTCAATCACTGGGACCTCCAGTCAATCACTGGGACCTCCTGTCAATCACTTGGACCTCCAGTCAATCACTGGGACCTCCAGTCAATCACTGGGACCTCCAGTCAATCGCTTGGACCTCCAGTCAATCGCTGGGACCTCCTGTCAATCACTGGGACCTCCAGTCAATCACTGGGACCTCCTGTCAATCACTGGGACCTCCAGTCAATCACTGGGACCTCCAGTCAATCACTGGGACCTCCTGGGACAATGAGCAAGTGCAGCTGTCCTATTAAAGGGACATAACTCCATTCACAAACACTTTCAAACGCTCATAAAATAGTTCACATTTCAGGTGGTCTTAAAATAGTGTAATCTGAAATTCCTTCATTGCATGGGAACAGCCCTGCAAACAAGGTGTTTTGATCACAGATAACAGAATGATCAGTATATACAAAGTAACATAATAATAGCATGCTTCATAAAACAATGATATTATGTTTTGATAATAAAACAATAAAATATTAATAAAACACACTGTGCAATGAGCAAGAGAAGTTGGAGCATAAATCAACATTAATATTATTTTATGTTGATATTGAAGTCTAAATGACAATTTAATCCAACATATCAAAAGCAGTAGTTAGTACATCAGAAACATGTGTCAATTTTGTTACAGGATTTAGATTTGACTATAAACATGATAAATAGACTCATTAGTCTTTGAAAGGCATTTGGAAGTGATACATATAAGGAAGAGAATATATGGATGTCAACTTCTTTATTATGAGTGAGTGAGTGAGTGATGTTTGGTTTTACGCCGCTTTTAGCAATATTCCAGCAATATCACGGCAGGGGACACCAGAAATGGGCTTCACACATTGTACCCATGCCGGGATTCGAACCCGGGTCTTCGGCGTGACCAGCGAACGCTTTAACCACAAGGCTGCCCCTCTTTATTATGAGGAACACAAGGTTTCGGAGTATATGCTTACTCCTTCATCAGGTGAATGCACATACTCTGAAACGTTGTGTTCCTCATAATAAAAACGTTAACATCCATATATTCTCTTCCTTAGACTCATTAGTCCACGCAAAATATAATTCCATTATTCAAGCCTAGCTCGGCAAGGGAGGAAACTGGATTTTCAAAGTCAGTTGACTCCCTTGACTCGGGAAGATGAACATTCAATCTCTGACAATCTGTATGCTATCATACTGTTTGAAAGAAGAGAAATTCAAGGTTTACAACATTAGGTCTATTTCTAACCACAAACCAACATATCTCATTACAACACAGACTTCTACCCGCTGTCTGACACTGCCCGCTATTAAAGGCATATCGACTGTGTTGTCAACGTGTCAACTTGCTGGCTTACACACTTTGTGTGACAACAGACTTGGCTACCATTGGAAGGTTAGATTGGATTGGATTGTTTGTTGTTTATCGTTGCACATCAGAAACATGACTGATTAATTATTATGCAAAGCACTAATTGCATGATCATGATTTGGTTTTGTTTGTTTGTTTGTTGTTTAACACCGCACACAGCAATATTCCAGTGATATGACGGCGGTCTGTAAATAATCGAGTATGGACCAGATTTTCCAGTGATTGACATCATGAGCATTGGTCCACGGAATTGGGATACAATGACATGCATCAACCAAGTCTGCGAGCCTGACCACCCGAATCCGTTAATCGTCTCTTACAACAAGCATAGTCACCTTCTATGGCAAGCATGGGTTGCTGAAGACCTATCCTACCCCGGATCTTCCTGGGAATCATGATTTGGCTTAGATTATGTCCACACTTGATCTTTGTACTAACTGCTGAGAAGGTTCTACAAAAGATCTTAGTATTTGAAAAAAAACATCTCAGTGAATATCTACACCAATGAAGGTGATGAGATATTCCAGCGCCCAAATCCAAGACCATTTTTTGCTCTCAGCTTTAATGTAACAACATCGGTACATGTAACTTTGAACCATATAATGCAAGCTCTATCAAAATATCTTGAACAAATTCAGATATTTAGACAATCATATGATTTGGTTGGTTTGTTGTTTAACGCCGCACTCAGCAATATTCCAGCTATATGACGGCGGTCTGTAAGTAATCGAGTCTGGACCAGACAATCCAGTGATTGATATCATGAGCATCGATCCACGCCATTGGGATCAATGACATGCATCAACCAAGTCAGCGAGCCTGACCACCCGATCCCCTTAGTCGCCTCTTACGGCAAGCATGGGTTGCTGAAGACCTATTCTACCCCGTAATCTTCACGGGTCGACAATCATATGATAACTACTCATTTCCCTGTGGCTGTCAATAACTGTTCAGTATTCATGGACCTACATACTTGTATATATGTATGAGCCCACCACCAAAACAAGGACATGATAACCAAATACTTACAACAGGTGTCATAGCAAGAAAAGAAGTATCACAGCAAACAATGTTATCCTGTTTGAATAGACCATGATATGCATGACATATGAGGTGAGGTAACTAATCACCGCTACATTTCTTGCATATCACTCCCTGAGATGCAAAGTATATGTGCTGTGGTTTCATATACAAGCCAAGGGAGATAATTCTGTGCCCCATGGTTCATTACTCAAAAAGACTTGGGAACGGAACTGATCAGAATGTTGATGTGAAACACCTGACCACGTTGGGTATAACATTCAACATCTTCCTGAGGCAAGGCAGTTAACTGACTTTAAATGACCAGTTTCCACCCTTGCCGAACTAGGCTGGAATTTTGTGGCTCAATTGTAGTGTCACAAGTGGCTATTACTTGTTTTGTCCCTTCTATGTCTCCCCGACAGACGAATCATATCCCTCACATATCTCTTGCACACTTCAAACATAACGGCAGCGCCCAGTCAAGACCATTTAATTGATAATAAAGATCTTTATTGTAATAAAACGGGTTTTACCTCGCAAAGTGCATCAAATCACTTGAGCACCTTGATTAAAGCATGAAATGATTTGGAAAATATCTGTCGACGACCACTTGACGGTATACATGATAATAAAGATCTTTATTGTCATGATTGTAATAAAACAGGTTTTACCTCGCGAAGTGCCTCAAATCATTTGGGCACCTTGATTCAAAGCATAAAAAGATTTTAAAATATCTGTCGACAACCACTTGATGGTACACATGATAATAAAGATCTTTATTGTAATAAAACACGTTTTACCGCGCGAAGTGCATCAAATCACTTGAGCACCTTGATTAAAAGCATGGAAAGATTTAGAAAATATCTGTCGATGACCACTTGACGGTACACATGCTCTGCAAATCCTGCAATCAAACAATCAATCAGCTATTGCCATATTGTTTATGCATGTCGGATGTTGATTTTGTTACATGATTTTGATTTGACCATAAATAGACACATTAGTCCACGCAAAATATGATTCCTTAATTCCAGCCTAGTTCGGCAAGAGTGGAAACTGGATTTTCAAAGTCAGTTGACTCCCTTGCCTCCGTTAGATGAACATTCAATCTCTAACAATCCATATGCTATCATACTGTTTGAAAGAAGAGTCATTCAAGGTTTACAACATATCACAGCATATCATATCAGGTCTTTTTCTAACCACAAACCAACATATCTCAATACAACACAGACTTCTACCCGCTGTCTGACACTGTCCGCTATTAAAGGCATATCGACTGTGTTGTCAATGTGTCAACTTGCTGGCTTACGCACTTAGTGTGACAACAGACTTGGCTACCATTGGAAGGTTAGATTGGATTGCATTGTTTGTTGTTTATCGTTGCACTCAGCTATATAACAGCACCCTGTAAATAATCAAGTCTGGGAAAGTCAGTGTGAGTGAGTTGGGTTTAACGCCGCTTTTAACACTATTCCAATTATATTAAGGCGTGTCAGCTTAATGTTGGAGGAAAGCCCGGAGTGATGCTGGTCTCGGACGTTTATCACTTCGGTGAAACCCACGAGCACGGGTATGGTGCTGACAAACCTAGAAACATAACCCGGGTGAACCGGGATTCGAACCTACAATCAAAGGTTTCTGGCGTGCCCAAGGGGCGCAACTCTGCACAGCGAATCGCAGCGCCTTCGACGACAAGTCTGGGAAAGACAATCATGAGCATCAATCTACATTACTGGGATACAAGGACAAGCATCAAACAAATCTGACAAGCATGGGTTGCTAATGACCAATTCCAACCCCGATCGTCACAGATTGGAAGACAGTGGAAAGAGACTTTGAGACAATGCCTATCAAGCATTTCTGAACCATGATTGCTTAGCACAGGCTTTCTTAAGATATCTGTTTTGCAAAGGGATCATGTTAATTTCTTCAACATTTTAAATTAAAAACATCTATATAACGACAGTCTGTAAATAATCAAGTCTGGACCACAAAATCCAGTGATTGACATTATGAGCATCAATCCACACAATTGGGATACGATGACATGCACCAACCAAGCCTGACCACCTGATCCCAATAGTAGCCTCTTACAACAAGCATAGTCACCTTTTACAGCAAGCATGGGTTGCTGAGGACCTATTGTACCCAGAACTTCATGGGTTGAGAGATCCTAAACCAGGGAGCAAACACTAACTTAATAACTTATTAAGTCACCAACAAGGTTTGAAACAATCACTGACTATGGGTAGTAATAGCTATTTCATCTGCAGCATCATGATAGTAAGTTATGTATTGCATGGATAATCGTTGTCAATCTAACATTCAATCAATCAATCTTTAGTCATGATACTGATGAAGACAAAGACCTCAGTACATTGTCTGGGGTGATTGTCACCCAGTCAGTTACACTGACTCAAGACCTACCTTAAAACCAAACCTTTACTGTTTCTTGTGACCTATGTTTTGTTGGTTAAAAGTAGTCTTGTTAAAGCCAGAGAAAAAAAATTAAAAAAATGAGGTCTCATTTTTCTTTTAGGCTAAAAAAAAATAATCGTCTTGGTTCTCAGGCACCGCCCGCATCATCATTAAGTTCGCCGCACATTTCAATTTTATTTCCATTTTTAAAAACAATACAAAAAATCGTTGAATATTCCAAGCCCAACGGTAGTCAAATACTGTATTCCAATATTTTACTCATCAAGGAATACATTTATGTAGGAAGGCCCTTTCCCAGGTTGATTGTACACAATTGTTTATTGATTACATAACTGTTTACTGGTTACATACTAGTTTGAATGACCCAAAAAAAAAAACACCACCCACCCGTACTATTTTTCAAAAAACATTGCCTGAGAACCAATTCTTTTATTTTTTTAAGCCTAAGTTTAGTTTTACTGAAAACTGACCAAAATGGTATGAATACAAACTACTTAAAACAAGTTAAAGAACACCCACAATTGAAAGACTGTGTGTCATATGAAGAAATTGTAACTTTAACTTCTTTTGAGTAGCAAAGCCAAAGGTCATAGTTTACATATTCAAGCATGAGTTTTTTGACTATCCAAATACAGCAGACAATATGATTTTAATAATAAGATTTCAATTTGTTATTTACAATGCTTGATGGTTTCATTTAAAAAACAAAAAATATCTTTGTTGCAACAGATTGTAACCATGGTATCAGAATGAACCAACCAGATCCGAATATAAAACATATGAAATTGTGGTCCCTAGCACCGTCCATACCCATCACCTGACGATGGCACAAGTGTGGGAATTCGGATCACACTCAGCATAAACCTTGAAGCGAGGGTTGTCCAGGTCGCCACGGTTTTTATGATCCTTAAGGTCAGGGTCATCGGAAGGAGGACCTGTTGTCCGGACACAAGCACATCTCATGTGTTGTCGTCCTGGTTCGTGAAACTCTCGTGGAACGCCCACCCAGTCTCTTCCAATGCCGCCACTGAAATGTACAACAGGTTTTTAGTTACAACATGATATTGCCAGAGGAGGCTGAAGAATCGGACTGAGGAATTGGAGATACAAACAGTGAGTGAGTGAGTTTGTTGTTTAACGTCGTACTCAGCAATAATCCAGCTATATGACGGCCGGTCTGTAAATGATCGAGTCTGGACCAGACAATCCAGTGATTGACATCCTGAGCATCGATCCACGCAAATGGGATACGATGACATGTATCAACCAAGTCAGCAAGCCTGACCACACGATCCCGTTAGTCGCCTCTTATGACAGAAAAGATAAAGTGCATGCACCTTCAACCAGGCTTTCGCTAGCTATTGTGATTGTCAGCGGCAGATATACGATTGAAGCATTAGTAAAATATCAAGTAAAATATCAAGTAAAATATCAAGGGCCAGATTTTAGCAGCGCTCTGTGGCAGCAAATAAGTTAGAGTTATCTGCCTCTGTGTAAACAACTCAAACATGGCAGGCTTGATCATAGTCTGTGTTTCTAGAAGGCTGGCTGTGCCTGTACAAGGACAGCATGATGGTGGTTTGAGGCCTATAACTTGCATCTTATGTACTTGCCAAGTGTGGATGTGATAGCTGTACAATGTTTTATTTATTCTTGCTTAATGCCGCACTCAGCAATATTCAGCAATATGACGGCCGGTCTGTAAATAATCCAGACTGGACCAGACAATCCAGTCCTTGACACATAATGACATGCATCAAGCAAGTCAGCAAGTCTGACCATCCGATCCCGTTAGTCGCCTCTTAAGACAAGCATAGTCACCTTTCAGTGCAAGCATGGGTTGCTGAACACCTATTCTAACACAGATCTTCACAGGTTGATCCCTATCTGAAATCACAGACTTCCTGCTAAGCTATTCTCGATTCAAGAAGCAGGCTTGTTTCAAGACAGTGACAAATTCTGAACCTTCATGAGTGCATTTACATTAATTCGAGTACCTGTCACTTACTGCTGCTGCCTGTTACTGGACCAATTGTATTGCCTGTTTGGATTGTAAAGCCAAAACCATGTGTTTCCATACATTTTAGTCATTACCCATTGGACATGTATGGTCATTTCCTGATATCACAAATAAGTTCTTAAAACCAGGGGAGGTCGGGTAGCCTAGTGGTTAAAGCGTTCGCACTTCACGCCGAAGACCCAGGTTCGATTCCCGACATGGGTACAATGTGTGAAGCCCATTTCTGGTTTCCCCCGCCGTGATATTGCTGGAATATTGCTAAAAGCGGCGTAAAACCGTACTCACTCTTAAAATCAAATTCTGGAATAACCTTTGCATTTCAATATGGAAATAACCTCATAACACAGTGTTTGACACACAAAAATTTGTTGTCCGTCATTGGAACACGTCTAATAAATTGTATACTAAAGTCTTGAAGATTTCTGTTTAATTTTACATATCCAGTTGGCCACGATGGGCCTGTGTCATGCTTGTCATTCTTGTCATGCTTGTCCTACCACGTCCTGTACCTTTCCTGCTCATCAGGGGGCACCAGTGACCCAGTCGTCTAAGGCACCACAATTCTCTGTGCAGAAACCTATGATTGTGGGTTCGAATCCCGGTTCACCCCGATTATATTTCTAGGTTTGTCAGCACTATACCTGTGCTTGTGGGTTTCACCAAAGTGGTTTATTTAACAAATATATATCAGTCAGTGAACAATTATCTTTTTATAAAACAACACTCAGTAACAGTATATGGGGTTTCAATCCCTGAATAGTTCTGTGTATAATCCTTATTATCCTAGACTAACGCTTAGTCTCTGAAAATATATAACTTTGATAGAAACAAGAAACTACATTTAAATTGAAAAGGAGCCCTATTGTGATGGGAGATTCAGAAGCTGAACCTGTGAAAAATCTAGGCTTGCTACATTTAGGGCTACAGCATTACAGTAAGGGCTGGGTGCAAGGGAAAAACATGACAAGCTTTGATACAACTGAAATACTGTTGCATACACTGACTTGACAGGCAGTGCATATCAGTAGGAAAGTAATATGACATGACGATACAGTTCAAGTAAAAAATAAAATTGGGTCTAATGTAAAAAGGGGGCACGGGTGGCCCAGTCATCTAAGGCGCCGCGATTCCCTATGCAGAGTGCGTCCCTTGGGCACACCAGAAACCTATGATTGTGAGTTCGAATCCCGGTTCGCCCCGATTATGTTTCTAGGTTTGTCAGCACCATACCCGTGCTCGTGGGTTTCACTGAAGTGGTAAACGTCTGAGACCAGCATCACTTCAGGCTTTCCTCCCACATTAGGCTGAGACGCCGTGATATAACTGGAATACTGTTAAAATCTGCGTAAAACCCACTCACTCCTGCACATGACACGGAGAGCTACATACCTCTGATTGGTGCACCACAGCACTGTCCCTGTATCCTGGGACCACTGGGAATTGCATGGTGGGAAGCGTTTGGTCTCTGCCTCTGCTTTAAGCTGGCTCTCTTTTGCTAAGCGCAGCTGTTCCTGATAATACTTCAGGTTCTCTGTAGGTTGGCCATTCCAGTCATAGAACTCTCCTTGTAACTTCCCTGCAAACAGTTGAAGGTGAGGTGAAATGGGGTTTAACATCACATCCAAGATTATTGCACTTATATAGCCACATGCATGCACTTATTGTGTATGTGGCTGCTTGTACTAGTCCGGACTGATGCCGATTAATAGTGCCAGCCCACTGATATACCATGCCGCAGTTTAACATGAATACCCCACTCAGACCCAGTATACTGACTCCGAGCCGACCGGTCCTTCTTTTAGCCCCTTAATGTCGAGCACCAGACAGGGTAACAATAAGTACCATCTTTTAACATATTTTGGTACGATGCAGCCGGGAATCAAAACCTTGGACCTTCCGCTCTCCAGGCAGATGCTTAACAATTAGACCACAGAGGCGGTGGCAAACAGTTGGACTGGATGGTTACCGCTATATCTTTATTTAAAGATAAAAATGAATTAATCAAATACCCAAATAGCCAGTCTGGGTGGCCTCTTGAAAATGATAATTTTCAATTCCAACTACAAAACCAGTTATTGTTTCAAACATGGTCAACGAAATGCATACCAAATGTTTTTGCATGCCCTGTGTATTGGTGTCAATGATCAATGAGGGCTTTACAGATTCCTAGCTGTTGTTTTTCAAAATGAAATAAATACAATTACCATGAATATAATTAACTATTTATGCCTTTCTAAAGGTGAGTTTGCACTTACATGATACCAAAAAGGGCATAACTGTTTACAAACAGATCTGAAATGCTCTAACTAATGTCCAACACAGTGTTATGGATATTGACCCATCGAAAAGACGCATAAACAAGAGGTCACCTTGACTTATAACCCAAAAGAATTAATTCAACAAATGGAGTGAAATTCTCACCTATACATTTGTAATCTTTTCCATAGAAGGTCTGCCATCCATCAAGCCCGAGCAAATCAGGAAGTTTGAGACCTTGGATGCTTTCAACTAGTCCTTCTTCATTGAATTCTCCTGTAATGAATGCTCTTGTTCCATCACGACCTGTGTAAAAAATATAACAGATGCATTTCCTTTTCCTTCCTCACCATGTTAACATGATCTAGTGGATACAGTGGCTGCCTGGAGCTTGATGTTATGTTGGCAACATCAAGATGTAAATATAAGTATTTACATATGTGTTGTTTGTTTGCTGTTTAATGCACCAATATTCCAGCTATATGACAGCAGTCTGTGAATAATCTAATCTGTACCAGACAATCCAGGGATTGACATCATGGGCATCGATCCACGCAATTGGGATACAATGACATGCATCAACCAAGTCAGCGAGCATGACGACCCGATCCTGTTAGTTGCCTCTTACGACAAGCATGGGTTGCTGAAGACCAATTCTGCATTGTTTGATAGGCATTACTTAGAAGTTGATGGATGACAAAGTAGACACAATTTATGGATAACAACTTCTTTAATTACTGCAAAGGCAACGTTTCGGTATAGATCCTTATACCGTTGTCAAGCAAGACTGAATGATGAACATGGTACAGAAGTTGTTATCCATTAATTGTGTCCAACTCTAAGCTGGTTTACTTACAGATGTGAGCTGACAAGAGTCAGATGTATACAGCATTATTTTAATACTATTGATCAGTGAGTGAGTGAGTTGGGTTTAACGCCGCTTTTAACAGTATGTCAGTTAAATCGCGGCATGTCAGCTTAATGTGGGAGGAAAGCCCGAAGTGATGCAGGTCTCAGACGTTTACCACTTCGGTGAAACCCACAAGCATGGGTATGGTGCTGACAAATTTAGAAACACAAACGAGGCGAACCGGGATCCGAACCCACAATCATAAGTTTCTGGTGTGCCCAAGGGCCGCAACTCTGCACAGCAAATCACGGCGCCTTAGATGACTGGGCCACCCATGCACCCTACTATTGATCAGAAACTTCATACACATTGATAAATTTGTGGTAGGAAATTATGTTAACTATAGCATTTCAATCTGTCATAATCATATAGATGATATTTCATTTCTCTGATGGTGACATTGATGACAATATGTATCTATTTGATTCTTATTATTTTAAAATTTTAACAAACAGTTTAACATGTTCAGTGACACGTTATTATCATGATATGTTTACATAATAATCTGCAGACAAACAAAGTAGTCGAATAAGGCAAGACTGCAGTGTATCGGGCGCAGCTTAAAGGGTAACTGGCACTTGCTGCAATGATCTCACATGCCTCTTCGATCCTTGGGCTAGTTGTGTAAGGGCAGGTTACCCCTAACTCTATCCTTATCCCTTGGATCCCTCACTGATCAAACACCCCTTCATCATGTTCATGATCCTCAGGTTTCCTAATGTATGTACTTATATGACACTAGCCTCCATACACTCGGTGTATGCTCAAATCGCTAACATTATTACCCAAGTTAGTGGATCAGATGTTCATTCTCAGCTCCCTGAGGAGTATACAACCCAAGCTGCCTAGTCAAGCGCTAGAAGGTTAACAGTCGCAACCCTTTGTTACGGGTAGGTGAGGCATATTTAAAAAAAGTCTATTGCCTAAGGAGACACCACATTTTGTCATTGTGGGGCAGGACTGAAGGCCTAGAAATTCTCAGGAGTCAAGCTGCCAAATGCAGTCACCCATCCAACTACTCTCCACAACCAATGTTTATTCTGATTTGTCACCTGTGCACTGTGCACAGGACCACATGCCACCACTTAGCCTTACAATCATGAGGGTCAGTTCTGAGTTAGGTATGGGTTAGCTTTCTCACCTCTTTTAAAAAATTAATCTCATTTGAGGAACATCTGTACAATTTTTATCAACTTTCAGTAAGAAAAATGGCTAATGAACATGAGCATCAAGGTAAACAACCGGGTGCTGGTCACCATGATCACTGGGTACGGGCCCTAATTATTTGTCATTGCACCAGGATTGACCTTTCAGATCAACTCAATATGATGTCTTAGCTTCAAGCTGGCAGCACAAATTCGATCCTCTGCATGGCACCAATTGAAATTAAACAAAGTGCACCCGGTAAGGTGCAGTACTCTCGGCAATAGTGTCACAGAATTTAAGATAGACAACATTGACAAGAGGGTCTTTCCCATGGATTTGGGAAACATAAGAATATTTTTTATATATCTAGTATTGTGCAAATTCACGATTTGACAACTAGGCTGAATGATTACCAGCAAATCCATGATAGCCCCCATCTGGGCCATAATGTTTCCTTCCTTTTGTCACATCGTATACTTTTCCCAAAACAGCCAGGTAAATATCGCTTCCGTCTTTTCCAACGTATTGAGTCAATTCCGATTTTGAAAATATTCTCTCAGACGTTTTTGATTTTCCGCTGGAGAAAAGTTTTGACCTCGCAAAGGATATACCAGTTTCTAACACATTTCTTGCATATTTGGGAATGTATGATTTTACTAATTCTTGGTACGGCGTCAGCTGTTCAACTTCCACCATCAAAAATACACTGAAACAACACGTCAATATTGAGAATATGAATAAACATTTCCCCATTTTGTCTCAACAGGTCGTCAGCAATTCACGATTAATTGGAAGAAACACGCATACAGCTCATACAGGTGTGTACGCGCAACTAATTCCCACAAAATGATTTATCCTGGTTCTCAGATAAGACTAAAGCATAAAGTTGATAGAGGCCGCCATGATGAAAATGTAAAATTGTAACTTCCGATATTCAGGTTAATACGAAACAAGTGAAACCTAAAAACGAATGCGGAATTCTTTTGAGTGAGTGAGTGAGTTGGATTTTACGCCGCTTTTAGCAATATTCCAGCAATATCACGGCGGGGGACACCAGAAATGGGCTTCACACATGGTACCCATGTCGGTAATCGAACCCGGGTCATCCTCCCTTTTTTACGTCTTATGCGCATTGGCCCCCAACGGAAGTTACAAATACACAAATATCCCAAGTGGAACACCCCCTTTTGAAAATCCTGGATCCGTTCCTGTTTATTATATACAGTAAACTACGGTTATAACGAACACGCTTATAACGAACTGAAGGATATAACGAACTACTTGTTTGGTCCCGACTATTTGCTGTAGTTATGCTGTATATATGCTTATAACGAACTACGGTTAAAACGAACTAAAATTAGTAGTCCCTTTGAGTTCGTTATAACCGTACTTTACTGTACTGTAAATAGTGATATATGTGCAATGGACATGTACAGTTTTTTACGAATGTGCGAATGTATGCCATTCAATTTCACATTGATGTGTTGCAGTCAGAAAAGTGACGACTGTCTATATTTGTTTCCTTGCAGTATAACGATAAGAACAAACTGACATTCTCGTGACGATGATTCTCCGCCATACAAACTCAGAACAGTTGTTATGTTTTGGGATTGTTTTTGTTGTTAACGCCACATTCAGCAATATTTCATTTTCCCAAGGCAGGGGTGTTATCTATAATCGGGTAACTCCCTTGCCTCGGAAAGATGGCAATATTTCAGCTATTTGCGGCCTGTCTAAATAATCTGACTATAAAAGTCGTGAAATCATCTTCCAGAGGCAAGGGAGTTTACTGACTATAAAAGTCGTAATATCATCTTCCAGAGGCAAGGGAGTTAACTGACTATAAAAGTCGTAATATCATCTTCCCGAGGCAAGGGAGTTAACTGACAATAAAAGTCGTGATATCATCTTCCCGAGGCAAGGGAGTTAACTGACTATAAAAGTCGTGATATCATCTTCCCGAGGCAAGGGAGTTAACTGACTATAAAAGTCGTAATATCATCTTCCCGAGGCAAGGGAGTTAACTGACAATAAAAGTCGTGATATCATCTTCCCGAGGCAAGGGAGTTAACTGACTATAAAAGTCGTGATATCATCTTCCCGAGGCAAGGGAGATAACTGACAATAAAAGTCGTGATATCATCTTCCCGAGGCAAGGGAGTTAACTGACAATAAAAGTCGTAATATCATCTTCCAGAGGCAAGGGAGTTAACTGACAATAAAAGTCGTGATATCATCTTCCCGAGGCAAGGGAGTTAACTGACTATACAAGTCGTGATATCATCTTCCCGAGGCAAGGGAGTTAACTGACAATAAAAGTCGTGATATCATCTTCCCGAGGCAAGGGAGTTAACTGACTATAAAAGTCGTGATATCATCTTCCCGAGGCAAGGGAGATAACTGACAATAAAAGTCGTGATATCATCTTCCCGAGGCAAGGGAGTTAACTGACAATAAAAGTCGTAATATCATCTTCCAGAGGCAAGGGAGTTAACTGACAATAAAAGTCGTGATATCATCTTCCCGAGGCAAGGGAGTTAACTGACTATACAAGTCGTGATATCATCTTCCCGAGGCAAGGGAGTTAACTGACAATAAAAGTCGTGATATCATCTTCCCGAGGCAAGGGAGTTAACTGACAATAAAAGTCGTAATATCATCTTCCCGAGGCAAGGGAGTTAACTGACAATAAATAAAAGTCGTGAAATCATCTTCCGAGGCAAGGGAGTTAACTGACTAATAAAGGCAGTATATATATATATATATATATATATATAATTAAAATAAAATAAAATAAATTACAAGAACTGGTTTTCGCTAAATGTGTAACATATTTTATGACATTATAAACTTAAGAACACATGTTACCAGTCTTGTAATTAATTTGTGACGTTGACCGAGTCGACGTGCTTTGGAAACGATTTTTTAATAAATATAGTTGAGGAAAGATCATGGTTACCTGTTTTTTTCAGAATGTGCAATGGCAGGAGTATCTTTTTTTTATCACATTGGGGCGCAAATTTTTACAGTGGCGGGGAAAATTGAGATTGGAATTGACTTATTATTTCTTGTCAGAATAGAAACTCAGGGCCGGTGGGAGATGGGAAACACAGAAACATATACGGACAGCCCAATCTAATTAAAATCACATCTTCGTTCTCGCTAACGCTACCTGAAATTAAGGATTGTTCTTGGCTCTGTCATAGCGACTGATTTACGACACCCATTGTCTGAAGAACATTTAATTGCAAAAGCTCATTACCCTGGAGCCATGACATATATATATGCCTTGAAACACTTGATTGCTGTTATTTATAAGATGCTTATCCTATTTGTTAATCCCCATTTTTGTGTACATCGACTGTCTGCCGAACGAGATGAGCAAGTATGTCACTGATGAATTACTGTTTACATTTATATTTATTTCTTACTAAATGTCAGGTGACCTTGGCTATATAAGCCTTGGTCCAGAGAGATTGAGGGTCCGTGTGCCTAGCTAGGGTTAGGCTGGGTGCCCCGGGGCACCTAGACAACAACCACTACCACTATGTGCTGACCTGGCACATAGTGTGTTTTGTATGTATATATCTACATGTATAAAGTAAAACTGTATATACCGCAAGCCATCGTCACCAAGTTGTCACTTCCTACTGAGAACCACACGTCGGCCCCTCGCATATACGAGTATGCAAATTATTCATTAATCAACGCGAGACCACACACGTTGTTAGCTCCATTTGGATTCTATTTTGTGTGTGTATATTTTTATATAAGATAACTTTATTTCTGGGACTACATGTCAGTCTAAACAAAGTAGCGAGAACTAAGATATGATTTTAATTAGATTGCAGACAGCCTAAAGTTAGTATCACCATCCGGTAAATATGCAAATGTAGTCACATGGCTAGCAAGGCCTACTTCCATGCCCCATACATAGATGCAATGTCTGCTTATTCAGTAAATAATTGTCTGGCGTTCCCAATAAGTTTAGAAAGGATTTTCCAGAGGTGTTTCTTCAGACAAACATGGCTTCAAATCATTGGCTCTGTATGACAAACGATGCGGTTCACTCAAACACTTTCTTAATAAAGTACAGATTCTAGTACAGACTCTCGAACCCATGCTGCCAGAGTGAGACACCTGATCGCAAGCACACAGAGTCAGCGATCTAACTCATTCAGCCACCGAGGCTTCCAATGAAAGTCCGACAACTGGTAGCCTAGACCACGTACTTTGTGTAACCCCCCCTACAATACGGAAACACACTCGGGATATCTAAATGCATCAAGTAATATTTTTTGTAGCTGACGGGGATATGTTTGCGCCTCTCTGCATGTTGGCGTGTTGGGAAATATCATCTTAATTGCAACATTATATGTTCATTTTATTGATGTAACGCACATATATGTTATTGATATTTAGTTTATAATGGTTAAATTGAATATTCAGGTAGTTTTAATACACCAGTCCTGTTGCCATTCCAACAGCGTGTAACCGCCTCCGTGGTCTAGTGGTAGAGCGGAACGTCCGGGGTTCGATCCCCGGCCGCGTCATAGCAAAAGACGGTAAAAGATGGTACTTGTTGTTATCCTGCCTGGCGCTCGGCATTAAGGGGATAAAACAAGCATTGGTCGGCATGGTACAAGGAGCAAAAAAACACACACACATGCACGCACGCACACGTGCATGCACGACGCTATATAAGTGCAATAATCTTGGACGCGACCTTAAACCCCATTTCACCTCACACCTACAACAGCGTGTCCGTGTTGGCTAAAGGCTTGTGAATCACGACAGTCAACAGTTCGAGTACATATAGTTGCCTTTGACAACAGAGCATTAATATTGAATGGCTTCCACTTAAAATATGTTCTGGGGACAAATATAGAATAAATTGAAAAAAATAATTAATGTCGTACTTAAGTCAATTTGTCAATCATGTCAATATCTAAATATTTGGATGATTTAGAATTCAACTTGAGAGTCTAATGCAGAGAGAGTCTATTCATATTTTATCATCATAGTTAGGCGTGATTCCTATTTTTGCCGTGAGTTTTGTGCATTGTAAACATGACCAATGAATGGATAACATTATATCTGTTTGTTTTTTCCCTCTCTAATATACTAATACATGGGCATCCCTTCATTTGAGAAACCAGTGGTCGTGGGTTCGAATTCCGGTTCGTCCCGATTATGATACAAAGTTTGTCAGCACCATATACCCGTGCTCGTGGGTTTCACCAAAGTGGTAAACGTCTGAGGCCCCCATCTATTCGGGCTTTCCTCCTGCAATAAGCTGACACATCATGATGTAGCTGGAATATTGTTCAAAGCGGCGTTAAACCCAACCCACTCACATATTCACGATCATATATGAAAATACAAGTGAAGAAAGAGTTGCACTGGTTTTAATAATTCTTACAATTTAAAAAAAATACGGATTTTCGTTTTTAATGAACATTTGAAAAACTAATTCATCGGGAGAATGATATTTGGTGAAACAACTCCAAGATTAAAGTCAATACACCAACTCTCAGTCGTCTCGCCGGTGTCGCTTTAATTAGCCAGCGGAGACGCCAGATGGTAATTAGCGCTGAACACAAATCATACCAGTCGAGATTATAGTTCATAATAAGCAAATTTTGAATCCGCGAAGAAAAAAAGTAATCCAACTTTCAAAGTTAGAGTAGGTGCCTGGGGCGACATAGCGGTATTTGGAACATGAGTTGCCTCCCTTAGAGTGACGTCACTGGTCAAGGTATCCATCATGGCGTCTGCCTGTGCGTTGCATTGGGTACCTGATTCGTTGTATAATACAGCCGTTTCAGCTATCGTAGCTTCATATCCAAGGGGCAGAAGGGATTTAAAGGTTCTACCAGAAAATGTGCAGTTTGATATATATTATAAGGTAAGTCACATTTTTGAAAAATAAGAAATAAAAAATGGCAGCCCACATTCGGTTTCGTACCTGAATTTCCTGGTATCAGCTGTCAGTAAATGTCAATTATGTTCGTTGACTACCTGCCAATTTGTAAAATGATAATTTAAACAATTGTCAGATGCATTCACGATTAACATTATGTCTCGCTAACGCAGAGTCAGTCACAAGACCTTCACAATAGCGCACTTTGGGAGAGATCGCCAGTGACTGAGGGGCACTGGAACTTGAGTTTACTTATGATGGTATATTAGTGAAGAAATGAATACAATTAAGACTATTGTTCTGACGCCAACAGATACATTATTACGAAATATAGTTATGATTAGATTTTATTAAAACATATGTGTCATCCTTAGTCTTCGCATGTTTGGTTTTACAAAATCATGATTTTAAAATCTTTCTTTTTTCAGCTCTACAGTAAGGGAAGACTCTGTCAGTTGGGAATGGAATTTAGTGATTTAGATACATTTGCCAAAGTCTTAAAAGTCAATGACAAAAGGTTTGTATTGATATTTGTCCAATTTGTATAATCTATACTTCAGTCCAGTTGTGATAGCTTTGGGATTGGGTACAATATTTGGTAAATCACTTATTTTGCATGCTCTTCGATCCAACACTATCCTTGGGGCCCCTTTCTGTTTTTTGCTCTCCAATATGATCATTTTGGTTAGGCATCAAACACCCCTTTGTAAGCAAGCACACCTTTCGATACTTAGGGCTAAGAACCCCTTTTTGATCTGAGGGTTACTTTTGAGTTTGTATTAGGGCAAGCTATCTCACCCTTCACGAATGCTTCCAAAGGTAATCCAATCTGAGGTAAATCAAAGATCAAAATAACTGTTAGCCCTACAGTGTGGTTAGTGAATTATACGTCTGGCTAATAGTATTTGAAAGCAGTTAGCCCGACTTGCTGGTTGAAGTTCTGACCCTTGTAACGACACAACAACTGCTTACTCCGTGCATTTGGTTTCATTATGCCAAAGATGTATTATATTCTTATAATGTCTCCTATTATGTCTTAGTTTGATTTTCCGATTGAAAAATGTCTCATGCCTAGTAACTGGGTCCAATAGTAAAGACAAGCTTTCTGACTGGATCAAATATATCCTGGAAATTATGCAGCCAATCAGCAGTAGTGTATCACAACCCTTCCTTCCGGTGATGACCATGCCAATTTGGGTAACCTGGATAATTTTTTGACTATTTCAAAGCTGCAGGAGGCAAAGAAGTCAAAATTAGACAAATGAAAAAAACCCTGATTGTACGGGAATTAAAAAAAAGGTCCTTTTTAGTGGGGTTATACACTCATATATATGACGTTTAATGCTATAGAAATTGTTATTAAGAAATGAATTTCACATTGTGGTGGTCCAACTATAATATAGATAGGAATTAATAATGCCAATATTATCGTCAATAGTATGCCTGCCTCTGTGTTGGTTAGCAAGGATTACGGCAACATCAGATTAGATGTACTTCCCTTTGGTTTGATCAGTGACAGGGAGAGATGTTTGAGATTGTAAGCAATACTTTATTCATTTCTATTACGTTGATGACTATGATTATCAAGCCTTAAAGTGAGTTTACTACTATAGCAATACTACTGCAATAGTTGACAAATATCGCAGTACTATTGCAATAGTGTGGGCTACGACTGCAATACAATCGCAATAGTGTAAATGGCCCAATAGTCACACCTAGCAATAAAGGTCTGGGAATTGGTCCTGTGCTTACGGAGCTGTGGCACCAGTACACAGCGTATTTCAAATTCTGTATGTTTAAGTGACTTTGCCCAAGTACACGTAATGGGTTTCGTAGTCGGAATTGAAAATCCACATTTTCAAAAGGCCAGCCTGTCTGCTAAACAAAAGGAATTTTTAATATTGATTAAGGGTTAAATTGAAGGTGTCCTTATCATGGACCTCAAAGATCTGCAAAAGGTTCCCCCTATGAACCTGCTGTATGTATGAGTGAAAGTGAGAGACGTTAATGTGCCTGTTTACTATATGTTTACATCTTGCTTTGCAGACACCTTCTACACCACTGTTTTCAAGCATTGATGGATCATGGGTTACGGGCATCGGGAATCTTGGCTGATTCTTTTGTTGTTCGTTTGTCAGAAATAATGAAGAAAGATCAGTACACAAAAATCAGATATCTGCAGCTTGGATTTAATTTAGGTAGGTTTCCTACTGTACATGTGCACACATGGTGAGGGTTTGACACACCCAGCCCAATATGGAATGATAACAGGCTGGTTCAGTGCCAAAGAAAGGCGTTGGCGCTACAAGTTGAAAGCCACAATGTTCACAGTCGGTTAATTATTGTAGAAACACAAAAATGGCAATTCAAATATTTATTCCAGAAAATGTTTGTATCTGTACCAATTAAGACCATCATTTCGTAAATATTTAAGGACAATTGCTGCAAAAGAGCTTCACCATGGTATCAGGCTGACTGTTTACATGATCAGTGGTCATGGGTAGCCCAGTCGTCTAAGACGCAGAAATTCACAATCCAGAGTTGCGTTCCCCTCAGGAATACCATATAGTGCCACAAACCTATACCGTATTTGACGTAATAAGCGCCCCACTCTAATAAGCGCCCCTGTCGAGATTTGCTAATAAATTGGCTAGTGAACAATCCCAATTAGCACCCCTTCAGACCCCTATTCGCATGTAATATGCACCACTTCCTTCCCCTATTCGCATATAATACGCACTCGTGTGCACCCTATATTATTGGCAATTAAATTCTGGAAAAATATATCTGTCCTACATAAACATTTCAGGCTGTCAGCATTAACCATGAAATTTATCTTTCAACTCTGTTTTTTTTACCAAAAAAATATTCTAATAAGAGCCCCCTATTTCTAATTTTGAGAGCGCTCTGGGCGCTTATTACGTCGAATACGGTAATCGCGTGTTGGATCTCCTGGTTAACCATAGTTATGTTCCTAGGGTTGTTGGCACCGTACACATGCTTGTTGATTTCACTGAAGTGGTAAATGTTTTGATACCGGCCTCCCTTCAATCTTTCCTCCCACATCAAACTAACATAGCATGATGTTACTAAACAATGTTCAAAGTGGTGTTAAAACTTTATACAATGTCTTGTCACAGTAAGATAACAAACATGTCATGATCATCTCTCTGTTACCCTATGTTTCTAATCTGTCTCGTTTGTCAAAAGATGTCATTTTGCTTCCAGGTGGCTTTCTCAGTGATGCAGGCTGGTTTCAAGACAGTGAGCGTGTGTACAAGGCATGTGCGGAAGTGTGTCAGGCGGAGACAGATACTGGCAGTTTGTGTAGAGCTTTAGAATGCAGTGTCAGGTATGTTGCCAGTCCTTGAATTATGTCATCTTCCCGAGGCAAGAGCGTCCACTAGCCTTTTTTATCAGTCTTGTTTCCACCCTTGCCACATCGACCCCGCTTTCCTGGGCTATATATGATTAGATTATCCCACGTTTCACAAAATCATCATCTAGGACTGGTACACCTTCGGAAGAATTGATTTAACGCTGCCTGTCTTTGTTGACACGAATATGTCTTGTTCATCTTTTAAACCCCACAACGATTGCCTATGTTTTTGTGTCAGGGACGAAATCGCGATTGTTTTCATAATCTGATTGACTAGGTCGTTGCCTATGGTAGTCGCCATCTTTGTGAAACAATATGAGATAAGTACAGCTATCTGATTGGATATTGCATTTTGTATGACATGGGGCACCTCGTGGTATACGCGAGGTGGCCCCAGGGTCGAGCCAAGAAAAAATGCCTTGATGTGGCAAGGGTAAGTCTTTGATATAGGCTAGTGGAAGATATAATTATGTATGCATTTAGATAAATGGAAAACTATGACCATGATGAAATTTGAGAAAAATAAAAATTGCTCACGTGCATGGACTAGTACATTTTGTGTTTTTTATTAGCTTGTGTTAAATTTGTGTCTGCTCAGGCTAACATGCAGTGTAAAGTTCCAAACGTGAATTAAAAGTTTCTTGAATCGTTACATCCCGATATGCTGCAGAGTACCAGAGAGAACATCAGTGTCGTATTTGTGTAGAACTCCTGTTGTGAATATTGTCAAGTCTGTGATGTCTTGTTACGTCATTTTTTCGGGGTCTTCCAGATTACTGCATGTACAGAATGCCAACTGTAAGTATAGAGAGGCCGACCAGACCTGCAGGGAAGCATTCCGCCTGATGGAGATTCTGGCGCAGCATGGGATAACAGTCAGCAAGTCAGCTCTCTACACAGAATGCTGTGCTTTGCTGTTTGCTGAAAGTCAGTACGATGAGGTCAGTGATTGTTATGTGTTGAGTGAGTGAGTGTGCTTTATGTTGCTTTCTGCCACATTGCACTTCCAGAAAAATCATAGCATGGGACACCAGAAATGGGTTGCATTCATTGTACCTATATTGGGAATTGAACCAGGGCATTCAGCATGATGAGTGAACCCTTTGACCAAAAGGTTACCCTACCACCCCTTGCTGAACCTGAGAATGTACCAACAGTTCTTTAATTTGTAGAATACATGTGTGAAGATAAAACAATTTGGTTTCAGAGACCACATCTTTGTTCAGACATTTTTGTTTGTTGTATCTGTGTGACATATTCCTCTGATTTGGACAAAATACTGGAACAGTGTTTTTGTTTCAGTGTTACTTTATTATCAGCTGATCATAGCTTATGAGGCTTACTATACTCCTTGTCAATGTTTCCATGAATATATCGGCCTTGTATTTTGATTGCATATTTCTTTCACAGGCTTACAAGTATTGTACACTGGCTCTACATGAACTGGCTCCCTCTTTGTCTCATAAGGTAAGAATGCAAATGAATTCAGCATTGACTATTAGAGACATATTTGAAATATTTTATCCAGGTGCTGTTTTCGCAGTGCTTGTCCCAATTTAGCTCATGCTATTAAACTTTAGAGATGAACTATGATTGAAAAGAGATCTAAGTTTAGGGTTAGGATTAAGTTTGTAATTTTACCTGATCTTGACTCATACTAATTTGCTTACCTCTTTCTTCTTCCCGAAACGTATTGGAAACTCTTGTGTAGTGTTCCCAATGAACAGAAAACATCTTGCCCCTCTCATGTCCAAGTGCACCGGAAACACGTGACCAACCAGTCTGACTCGTCACTCTTTCTTGTGCAGTTATAATGCAAGCCATCCTAATCATTTTGCTATTTCCTATTACTAATTTGGATTTGATTACCTTTATTAAACATTCCTTCTTCATACTCAACAATTATTTTTTTGATTCGGCAAAGGATTTTCCTCTTTTTGGATCGTTAAGTTTCATCTTGTTTTCCAAATGAAAATGTGTACAATGTGTCGTCTGAGTATCTCCAGTCGTGATCCACACCCAATTTGTTTAACTTATACCGAAACAAAACTGTACTACAGACGACGATAACTGCAACTTCTGCTCCCCCTTGACTGAAGAAGAATTTGCTAAATACATCTACGCTGTTGAGAGGAAGAAGATAGACAGGAAGAGGAGAGATTCTTCACGCTTCACTTCATCTACAGAGACCGCCCAGACTTCATCCGTCAGCAGTAGAAGTGTTGACTCTCTCCTATGAAGAGCGACTTTGATACCAAGTTGAAGAAGAAGTCTCCTGTGACGTTTTCGACCCTCGTAATAATCTCCAGTCGTTGGCGAAGATGAAATCCTCTCTGTCCTCCTCAAAGACGTCGTATTTCACGATGGCGCAGACCTTCATGAAGGATCACACCTCCACAATGTCGAAGTGATCATCCTCCATGAAGCCTTCCTCGGCTTTTACCTCAGGAAATGAAGACATTGGCGCGCTGCCTTCCACCTCCACACAGCTTCATCGTTTGTCCAGCCCCCAACCTTCATACAGCCACAGACATTTGTGCAACATTAGACCTTTGCGCAACCGTCTGCCTTCATGCAACCGTCAATGTTTGCACGGTCTTTTTCCCGCAATCTCTGCACCTCCTTCGTTGAACACAGACTTGGTCGCTTGTTCTTCTAGCCATGCAGCAGCAGCGGCTTTGAGCATACCCTGCGTGCAGTCTACTACGTCGATGGTTTCTTCTGAAGGGGTTTCTCAGCCGTCACTTCATTCTTCCACAGCCTCTAACACAAATGCTTCCTACCTACTCCAAGATGAGGATGTCATGCCAGTCAGAAGAATTTCCATTTGTCAATGAGGATCACAAGATGTTGGCATGGGTCGCCGATAGCCTACCTAATTCGTCACCCTCCAGGGATACTCCTAGTAGCAAGTCCTATTTCATAAAGGCAGATGATATCAACACCTTGACCATTCCACCGATTAAGGCTATTTCACAGATAGCCAAGAACCTTCATGCCTCTTTTCTTAAAGCTACCCAGTCCCAGAGTTTGACGATGCCAAACTTCAATGTCAAGGTGTTTCCTTTACATGGGATGGCCGCCTTCCTCTGGGCCCCGGAGATTGATGAGGACTATACATTGATGTCCGACTCTCAGACCAGAGTGTACTATTGGAGATAGTACAAACCAATCCCATAACTCCAGGTTTCTACTCACCAATCGTCTTAGTCCCCCCCAAAACTCATTTAATCTACAAATGAAAGAATTCAAGTATCTCCCAAAGCCCGACAAATTCATGATGATCCACCCACCACAACTAAAACAAACGATAAAGCAGGATGATTACTTGGCAAGCATCGATCTCCAAGATGCCAACCTTCACATCCCAATCCATCTAGCCTCCAGGAACTATCTGAGTTTCCTGTACAAGGTTCAACATTACCAATGGACAGTCCTGCCCTTTGGAATTTCAATGGTTCTGTGGTTATTTTGGTGACCAAACCAGTCGTGGCCTTTCAGCACAACAAGTGGATCTCCGTTGCGCTTTTTATTTGGATGACAGGATTCAAGCTCATCACCATGCAGAGCTACTCAGACTTCAACCAAATTTCACTGTGAAATTACTAACACTATCTCAAGTTCTTGGGCATCAGGTTCCTGACGGGGCGAAACCATATTCAAGTTCCAGAAGATCGTTGGATAAGGATCCAAAGACATCTTCCAGCAGCAGTCACAAATGAATATCGGTCAACCAGTGGCAAGTGACTTTAGGTCTACTGCCTTCATCCCAAGCCTTGACAGTATCCAAAGATTCCTCAAACCGTTCCTCGGAGTGCATAATTAGTGAGGGAAGCAATCTGCGTGTTTAGTGGGGCAGTCTGGCATCCCCTTACCCTGATGCTGTTCCTCGATCAACAAGAACTTAAACACTTCCACACACTTCGAAATACAATCAGCATCTATTTGTAGGCGCCTCACTCCAAGGATTTGGTGCCCATCTCGACTCAGGGCTGTGGAAGTTCTTTCACATCAACCATCTACATTTCAGGAAGAAGAAAGAGATAGGCAAATTAGTATGAGTCAGGATAAGCATTAATGAATTTTTATCATAAAACCTTCATCATTGTTCATTGTCGACAAATATGATCTGCTACAGAGTTGACATCTACATAATGTCAAGGGTGGTAGTCCACAAGCAAATGTCATAAGTCCTTCCTGAATTTTTGTAGTCTCAGATGAGCAGACTTATGTTAATTTCAAACCCTGAAGATTTGAGTAGGTGAGTGGGTACAGTTTATCGTTTTTAGCAATGTTCCAGCAGTGTCCCAGCAGGAACACCAGAAATGGGCTTTGAACATTACACCCACATGGGGAATCAAACCTGGGTCCTCAACGTTACGAGCAATCACTTTAACCACCAGACTGCCCCACCGCCCCTGAAGTTTGAACAATGATATAATCATTTTGACTCTGTCCGCACTGTCATAGCAATGTCATATCAGCTTAGTTCCATACATTACAAGTTGACAAATAAGTCCAGTAAATATAACGTGACAACTAAGTCCAGAGTTTTACCTTGACCTACAAAACTAGGGGTCAAGGAGATCCCCAATAATTAATTTCAAGGGTCCTTACAGGAAATATGAAGGTTCTGAAAGTAAGGAAATGGTGTAGTGTACTGTACTTGGGGATTTGATTCAATTACAGGAGCTTTGTATTTCCTGTCAAGAATTTGGTACAATGAATGTTAATGTGCGTCACTCAGGATGTGATGTATTTGTTTTCTGCATCCAGTTTGTGAATCCTGGAAGCACATTTCTGACTTGTGTAAATCCTGTTAACAGTTAACAACAGATATTTAATATTGTGATTCATAAAGAAATAAACGATGAGTGGGAGTTGTTTATCTTTTTAAAAAAACACTGCAGGAAGAATAAACTATGATTCTCCCTGCAGTGTTTTATTGTACAATAAACAATGACCATGAGCTGTTTATTTATATGAGATATCAATATTATATTCAACCTCTTTAAGGATGTTAATAATATGTACAAGATTTTAAATGTTTGCCCGTATTTAAATAATGATGACTCCCTGCATAGAATCCAACCTCAGTAATGTTGCACAAGTCCATTTTATGGATGCTATCATTCGGCCTTTGTGTTTATCTACGTTGCCCAGCTGCATCTACGAGGAACAACTCATTAGACACCTCCCTCTAAAAAATATTGTTGTCCAATTTACGACGTCATCATGTTGCAATCACATGTTTGAATCTCCAGAAATTACGTTATGATAGAACAATGTTTTATCGTGAAATAAATCACGCTTCGTTCTTCATTGTTTTTTGTGATTCATAGCATAGCCATCTTATATTTGAATATAAATGTTTGTTTACTTGTTTGTGTATCAGGCTGTGGTGGATGTGTTGCGGCAGTGTTCCAAGGCATGTGTAGTAAAGAGAGAGTTTGAAAAGGCAGAAGTTCTTATCAAACAAGCAGTTGCATATGCAAGGTAATTTTGTGCTTTTTACAAAGATTGGAGTGTCCCCTCACAGTGTACCTGTCATAGAATCTGATAATGTGATATATGTCCAGTAGTCTTCTGCAGTATGCCAAATTCAGCATTGCGTTTCCTAAATTCTTGCTTATTATGAAAACTTTTCTTTTCATATCCCAGGGAGCATTTTGGAAGCCATCACCCCAAGTATTCTGATGCTCTTCTTGACTATGGTTTCTATCTACTCAATGTAGATTCAATACCTGGGTCTGTTTGTGTGTACCAGGTAAGTGCTGTTTGTTGTATTGAACTTGTGACCAGAGTCAATCAAAATCAGACACACATGACACACATCTTTCCTTTGTATATCTCTGTTAAGGTTTACTGTAATTTGTTGTAATGAAAGCACATGTCAAAAGCAAGGAAAAGAAAACCTCAATATTAAACATGTACCAATTCATTAAGTCGCCTATTACGACCAGCATAGGTTGTAGGGGACCTATTCCCACCAGGGGGCCTATGATCGTGGGTTCGAATCCTTGTACACCTCGATTATGTTTCGAGGTTTGTCAGCACCATACCCGTGCTCATGGGTTTCACCGAAGTGGTAAACGTCCGAGACCTGCATCATTGGGCTTTCCTCCCACATTAAGCTGACACGCCGTGATATAACTGGAATAGTGTCAAAAGCGGCGTTAAACCCAACTCACTCACTCACTATTCCCACCCAGGACCCCTATGAGGTCATGATACTTCAGAGCTCAAGATTTGCTGCGTATTTGCATAAAATATGCTTAAAATAAAATAAAATCCTAGCATATCAAACAAGCAACAAGAACCATTAATATGATATTGGAAAAAATAAATATGTATATTATAACTATAAGTTAAAACAATTGCGTATGTTACAACTATTAGATAAAATTATTGTGTATCAACTGATCGCCAAATTCACTTACCAACAGTTACGTTCAGAAAAGCTTCTGCGACAAACATACTCAACAATAGATGTCAATTGAAAAGCACATCGTGCATAGTCAATGTACATGTTGTATCTTAAACAGTCGCCGATTGGTGATTAAAGAAATAAACAAATTAACAAGAAATGGCTTCCCGAGAGGAAGCCGCAAGCAGATGCAGACTGGTATACTGCTATTCACATAGTTTTAAATGATTTACAGGGTTTGTTACAAAACATGTTTTAAGTTAAATACCCAAATGTGAAGAAACAGGTGGGTAAAATTTTTTTGAATACCCAATCAAAATCAACCCCCTGGGTTAAATACCCAAATAGACCTGTGAAGATGCGGGGTAGAATAGGTCTTCAGCAACCCATGCTTGCCGTAAAAGGCGACTATGCTTGTCGTAAAAGGCGACTAACGGGATCGGGTGGTCAGGCTCGCTGACTTGGTTGATGCATGTCATCGGTCCCAATTGCATGGATCGATGCTCATGATATCAATCACTGGTTTGTCTGGTCCAGACTCGATTATTTACAGACCGCCGTCATATAGCTGGAATATTGCTGAGTGCGGCGTTAAACAACACACCAACCAACCAAATACCCAAATAACCAAACGCTTATCTATAGCTCTGGTACTTGTTGGCATGACCATCAGGTAAACTTTACCTCTCTGATCAATGCAGTATCAGCAGCTGCAATATTACCTGACAACTTTATCTCCTCGAACAGGTTTATGACATTTGATTTATTTTTCTGGCTAGATTGCTCTAGACATCCGACAGGCTGTGTTTGGTGGTAACAACCTGTATGTGGCCATTGCCCATGAAGACCTTGCGTATGCGTCCTATGTCGAGCAGTACAGTTCGGGCAGGTTCCAGAAGGCAAAGTGAGTATCAGCTGTGATGTGTATTTACTGTTTATGCCATGAATAAAAAAATATGTCTTTTGCAAAAACCTTCTTGAGTGTGTTCTGTGGCAACTGTAATTTTGCAGTTTTCTTTTTTGCAGAGATCATGCTGAAAAGGCGATTGAGATTTTGTGCAATATTCTTCCAATAGATCATTTATTACTTTCCTCTTCAAAAAGAGTCAAAGGTGAGTATTTTGAGATCAGTATTATTTCCTCAGGACAGTCAAAACAAGGTCTGTAATGTGATAGGATAAAGTGCCCAATTCTTGCATCAATGTCTGATATTGGCCTGTCCCCCTTCAAGATCGCCTCTGTGGTGTAGTGGATATAGCATTTGTCTAGAGAGCAGAAGGATGGTGGTTTGATCCCCAGTTGTTCCTCTGGTACCTGTTGTTGCCCTGCCTTGCTCTCATCATTAAGAGGATAAAACAATGACTGGACGGCTATAATGTCAGTATAAAGTCTGTGTGGATATCTATGTTACACAATAAAACTAGCATAAGTCGTACACACGTTGATACCGATTTGGATTTGTGTTGTTGTTGGTTTGTTGTTGAACGCCGCACTCAGCAATATTCCAGCTATATGACGGCGGTCTAAATAATTGAGTCTGGACCAGACAATCCAGTGATTAATATCATGAGCATCGATCCAAGCAATTGGGATTGATGACATGCATCAACCAAGTCAGCGAGCCTGACCACCCGATCCCGTTAGTTGCCTTTTACGACCAGCATAGTCGCCTTTTACAGCAAGTATCAGTTGCTGAAGACCAATTCTACTTTGGATTTGTGGATTTAAAAACTTAATTAATCTCGTGAAGTGTCCATAGTTAAAGGTTATCATTGTCTTCTTGTCTTCACCTCACCTCAAATAGGTGCAAGCTGCTGTGTGTTCTTTTGTGTTAAATGTCCACAAAACATAATTGTGTAATATCATATTTGGAAGTAAGAGAATATGATACCAAATGGCTATATCAATACATATTTTCCACCTGTGGTGATGCGGTTAAGAAAAAGTCTTCAGCAACCCATGCTTGACGTAAAAGACAAATACTGGTATTCTGTCGTAAGAGGCGACTAGCAGGATCAGGTGCTCAGGCTCACTGACTTGGTTGATTCATGTCATCGTATCCCAATTGCGTGGATCAATGCTCATGATGTCAATCACTGGATTGTCTGGAACAGACTCGATTATATACAGCCCGCCATCGTAAAACTGGAATATTGCTGAGTGCGGGGTTAAACAACAAACAACATATTTTCCTGAAACAGTAAACACTTTAAGTTACGTGAAACTATAGAGAATTGCTGGAGAGAAACTTGTTCCAGCTCTGGCATTACCATGATAACAGTATGTTAGTAACAGAAAATGACTAAAAATTTGGAATCTGGTTCCTAGTTTAAACAGTGTTAGTTCTGAATACATGCAGCTTGCAGAAATGCCATTCCAAGCTCTTGTCATTGTCGATAAGCCGTCCGATCCTGCAGGGACAGAATGAACTGTATGGTGGAATGGGTGGAGCTGTCTTTGTAAATGAATACAGCTGGTTTCTGTATGTTACTTATAGGCTAGGGAAGGAGCAGACAGGGTGTGGCTATGGGTTTATTGTAGTCTAGTATAGATGTTTGAGCCAGATATGTTTGTTGGCAGCTCTGATCCTGGAGGAGATTGCCATTGACAGCCATAACAAGAAGATGGAGGACCAGCTCCTGCATGAGGCCCAGGACCTTCACCTACAGTCTCTAGAACTGGCCAAGAAGGCCTTCGGGGAAAACAATGTCCAGACAGCCAAACACTATGGCAACCTAGGCAGATTGTATCAGTCCATGCACAGATACAAGGTAAGCATAAGGATTCAGTGGCAGAATACAGTAAACTACGGTTATAACGAACTCTAATGCACCACTTATTTTAGTTGGTTATAAAAGTTGTTTGTTATAAACATATATACATCATATTCACAGCAAATGACCGGGACAAGAAACCCAGTTCGTTATATCCGTCAGTTTGTTAATTATTGTGTTTATTATAAACATAGTGTCGACTGAATGAGGATTGTGTGGTTACAATATTTGGTTAATTGTGTTATCAGAGAAACCTCCTTGGCCTGTCGTCACCATATGGCTGGAATAATGCCGATGTGACTATGAATCTAAACTCACTCCTTGGCTTGTCCCATAAAAACTAATCTCCTTTCTGCATTTAGGTGATGGCTTAAAAAGTAATTGCTAGACTAGTCGTCAAGTTCGGTTTTTAAGTTTTTATTGCTGGAGAGATGGTTCTACCAGCTCTAGCATTACCACAATTACTGCCTGGTAACAGAAAATGACTAAACATTTGGAATCTGGTTCCTTCTTTGATAAGGAAATAGGAGTGCTGATTCTGAAAGCATACAACTTGCTATGAAGCCATTCATGGCTCTTATCATTGTCGATAATCCTTCCAATCTTTCAGGGACCGCCTCCGTAATGGTAGAGCGTCCGCCAGGAGAGCGGAAGGTCCGGGGTTCGATCCCCAGCCGCGTCATACCAAAAGACGTTAAAAAATGGTACTTGTTGTTACCCTGTCTGGCGCTCAGCATTAAGGGGCTAAACAAGGACTGGCCGCCTCGGAGTCAGTATACTGGGTCTGAGTAGGGTATTCATGTTAAACTGCGGCATGGTATCTCAGTGTGCTAGCACTATAATTCGGCATCAGTCCGGACTAGTACAAGCAGCCACACACACACACATACTTGTGCATGCACGTCGCTATATAAGTGCAATAATCTTGGACGCGACATTAAACCCCATTTCACCTCACCTCACCTCCAATATTGCAGGGTCAGAATGTACTGAATGGAGAAAAGGTGGTGTTTAATATGTGTTGATGTTGCTGTGTTGCAGGAAGCGGAGGAGATGCACCTGAAGGCTATAGAGATCAAAGAACGGCTGCTGGGGCCAGAGGACTATGAGGTGGCACTGTCTGTTGGACATCTTGCCTCATTGTACAACTACGATATGGAGAAATTTGATGAGGCAGAAAAACTCTATCTACGTTCAATAGCAATAGGTAGGCATTGTTTGATAGAACTCAGTCAGAACTGTATATGATTATCCACCATGGTAATAACTGTCAATTTTGAAGGTAATATGGATTTCTTCATTCAAACTGTGTAAGTTATGTCACAATTAAGGGTCCGCCTCTGTGGTCTAGTGGTAGAGCGTCTACCTGGAGAGCGGAAGGTTGGGGTTTAGATCCCTGTCCCCGCCCACGCCCACGCCCACGCCCCTGTCCCTGTCCCCGTCATACCAATAGACGTGAAAAGATGGTACTTGTTACCCTGCTTGGCGCTTGGCATTAAGGGGCTAAAACAAGGACTGGTCGGCTTGGGAGTCAGCATATTGTGTCTGAGTGGGGTATTCATGTTAAACTGTGGCATGGTATCTCAGTGGGCTAGCACTATAAAATCGGCATTAGTCCGGATGAGTACAAGGAGCCCCACACACATACACATCGCTATATCATCGAGAATCTCACGCAAGTGTCTTATGATATATGTCAACACAAGTCAACAAATGTTTAAGTATTTATTGGTAATTGTATCAAGAGTGTTTGATATACAGCACGAGTGTTTGATATCAGATGTTACAAGGATAGGATTTCATTTGTCATCCAAAATCATTATCCAACATTTTCAGTTTCTGATCACTAAATAAGCAGTGATTTGAATGTAAAAGGTACAGCTAATCAGCCCCAATGGCAGAGAGATTAGTGATGTCATTTAATTGTCATTGATGTCACAATGGTTTGCAAAGCTGTAATAACCAACTATGCTTGTCGTAAGAGGCGACTAACGGGATCAGCTGGTCAGGCTTGCTGACTTGGTAGATGCGTGTCATTGTATCCCAATCGCGTAGATCGATGCTCATGATGTCAATCACTGGATTGTGTGATCCAGACTCGATTATTTACAGACCGCTGTCATATAGCTGGAATATTGCTGAGTGCGGCATTTAACATCAAACAAAAGTTACAAGGTTTGTTCCGTTTCTCACTGGTAGGACAACTGAAAACTAGCTTATACTGTTGTTAAACTCAAGTCACTGTGAGGGATTTGTACTTTTGAAATGTTTTGATCAGGATGTGGTACACTTTTATCAATATAGTCATTGGTATTTTCTCGAGTGGTACTGTTGTACTATAGTTATCTATTTGAGTAAAAAAATAAAGCAGACAGGCTAATAATAATTAATTGGAATTTGGTTACCGTATTCAACGTAATACGCGCCAAGGGCGCTCTCAAAATTAGAAATAGGGGGCTCTTATTAGAATGGTATTTTGGTGAGAGAAAAAACAGTTGAAAGATCATTTTCGTGGTTTATGCTGGCAGCCTGAAAATGTTTGTATAGGACAGTTATATTTTTCCAGAATTTGATTTAATTAAGGGTGCATATATAACAGACGAGTATGTCTTGTGTACATTGATCAATCGGAAGAGGTGCTAATTGGGATTGTTCACTAGCCAATATATTAACAAATATCGCCATGGGCGCTTATTTGAGCGGGGCGCTTATTACGTCGAATACGGTATTATGATTTGTTTTAGGCATTTGACTTGTGAAGTGAAATATTCCTGGGTTATGATACCTAATCGGGATGTCTGTGTTCTATAGTTGGACGGGTTAAGTTTCTTTCAACCAATTGAATGTTTTGTCTGCTTGTAGGTCAGAAATTATTTGGCGAGGGCTACAGCGGTCTGGAATATGACTACCGTGGACTGCTGCGTCTGTACCACAATGTAGGTAAACAACAGCTGGCTTTACACTATAGTAACATCCTACAGCGGTGGAACCACATACGGGACTCACACAACATGGAGGAAGTGAAACCTTTGGACTACACTGTCACACAGTCTATACACCAGATTATTGATGCCTACTTCTGATGTAATGTGTAGTTGATGTTTTCTGTCAGTCACTGCCAGGACTCGGACGATGTTAGTGAAAGGATACATTGAGCTGGCAGCATGTTTCTGTGATAGACAGGATGGTGTGCCACAAGATGGAGATTTGTCTCTGAAGCTCACAGCTCAGTGGGAGATGTGATGACCTTGTGATAGACAACAGGATCAGATGTCTGTAGAGGGATTTCTTTGCAGTATGTCCGATGGAAATTGGTGGATAATGAAGGGATCACTGTAGCTAAGCCTACTGTATTGGTGACGATGGGCTGTGATGGTGACAGCTGCTATTCTTCAGTGATACCAGGTGGCAGGTGCCCCTTTATCAAGTCGTCAGTAATGCTGCGTGTTGGAGAGCTCATGAACCTTGATTCTAGGTACAACGAATGGAAGTCATGAGGGTAACAACACAATGTTGACACTGCTGGAATGACAGCATCTAGAACTATCTGAGTGTTACTTGGAACATACCTTGTGATATGACACATGTATTTATTGATTGTAGTGTTCCATGTTATATATGATCACAGAAGTGATGAAGATGAAGCTCAAGGGGAGATAACTCATTACAACCGAGTTATGGAAGTTGGAGAGAACCTTATCTGAAGTATATGTCAAAATGACTAGGGCATTGATCTATGTTCCATTTCACACTGAACTTGCAGCTATGTGTGTTTGTGTGTCAAAGCTGTTAGAAGGACAATGTTCAGATTCTGAGCATATTACAGCTATTTTTTCTAATGGTTGACAAGCATGGACGATGAATAAAAACTCATAATATATTAATCATGTTCAAAGGAAATGAGTTACGAAATGTATTAGAACATGTTTACTTGAATCATGTACATTACGATCACAAATAATCTAATTGCCAATGAAGGGACTGCATGATGTTGCTTCGTACATTATATTAATGTAATGTTCACCATATTTCTCTCATCTGTTCTTTATATTTATAATTTATTCTTTGTTTTATTTTACTTATGATTTAGCATACATTTGACACCTCGCCTAGTGTTTTGTGCTGATGTTTTGATGACATCAAAGCTGAGTAGAAAGTCAGGAATTTGGGTGTACAGGTTGGCAGCAGGCCACGTATGCTTTGTAGTGCTGTAGATTTTGTTAATAATTTTATTTTCAATGTTTATACCATAATGTTCAGACACAGTAATCATCTTGCTGAGTCAACACTTTCACTCATCATTGTCATATTCTTGTATGATTTGGTTGCCCGGACTGCAAGTATGTTACTTTTGAATCACATCGGCATTGATTAAACTGGCAGAAGGGTTACAAACAGGAACTGGATAAGCAATGATAAGTCAATTATTTGGATAGTACATACATCAGATTTTGATGACCTTTTTCTTGATAAGTACTGAGGAATTTGGAACCTTTTGGATGCGCCGGACATGCTGGAGCAGTAGTCGTTAATGGCATTGCAATTCGTATCCTATGGTCATGGGTTCGAATCACAGTTTCGCCCTGGTAATGATCCTAGGTTTGTCAGTACAATACCCATGCTTGTGAGTTTCACAAGATTGGTAACCATGGTGACTGTCTCAAGACCTACATCACCATGATGACTTCAGACTTTGTCCTGGATAAACCTGACTCGCAGTGATAAAAATGAAACCCACTCACTCATGCCAGTGTTTTTCTGAAAACATGTTTAGAACATGTCTGACTGAGCTGTTCAGGGGAAGTGGGGTAGCCTAGTGGTTAAAGCGTTCACTTGTCATGCTGAAGGCTTGGGTTCAATTCCACATGGGTACAATGTGTGAAGCCCATTTTCTGGTCTCTCCTGCAGTGATATTGCTCGACTATTGCTCGACTATTGCTCAAAGAGGGGTAAAATTCTACTCACTCTCTGAGCTGTTCAGCCCACCAAAATTAAGCCCATTGGCTACTTGGGAATAGGATTCTATGTATATGCCAAGGGCTTCCAGTTATTCCTGAGAGTGTCTGTGGGATCCCTGTTATAAATGTACACACACAAGAATAAAACCTTGTTTGTTTTACAGACTGAAACCTAATCAAGTCTGCTACCTTATGATGTATGTTTTGTTGGTCCTGGGAATGTTACAAGTTAAAGCAAGATATTGTTTGTTGAAACAACACGCGGAAATAAAGGTGTCCCCAAATCATGCAGTTATACTTCTTATGTTATGCTTATTATCCAAATGGAAGCCTTTGGCATCCTTTTGGTAACAATTTCATGATGAGAATTTCTATTCATTCACTAATATTGTCTCATCACAAAAGCCATGGATTTTGTTTGGATCTGAATCAGAATGACAACATTTGACACAGGATCTATTGAACCATATTTATTGAAAATATTGAAAGTGTCAAAGTATAGATCACTAAAGTTCAAGGCTTTCAACTGTCATTTTCAAGGCTTTTTTAATTGGGTAATTAGCTTTGGTCAGTATTTTTTTTAAATCCAACATACTATATTAGTCATAAGGAATACAAGTCAGTATGAGCAGTCTTAATACTTATGTTAACAAGTATGTGTTATATTGTACAAATTCTATGGTTTTTTAGCTATTTTGGTGATTTTCAAGGCTTTTCAAGATGGCATTAAAAATGGAGGCTTTTCAAGGACCTTAAAATTCAAGGCCTTTTCAAGCCTGTATGAACCTTGTGCATTACCTATCAAACAAAAACATGGTCATAACACAAGAATGTATGAGTTACAATGTTTGTTGTCCCCTCATCAGTAACTTCTTTCAGTGGCATTTAGAAGTTGGTGTGATGAAGAAAGACAAGTTCTATGGATGAACAACTTCTTTATTACAATTAGTGCGACGTTTCTGTGTAGATTCTAACACCGTTTTGGTGTAGATCCTAACATCACTTGCTTGATAAAGGTGTTAGGATCTACACCGAAACGTTGCACTAATTGTAATAAAGAAGTTGTTCATCCATAGAACTTGTCTTTCTCCCTCATCAGTACTTCCTGGGTTTGTGTACGCTATATTCCTCCATCACTCTCTTGTTTTGACCAATGAAGAAGGCCATGATCTGGTTCCAGCGAGAGAAAACAAGTAATCAAACCTCTCACAAGTGGCACGTTTCTCTTGCACCATCTTCCACAGCCTTTAGGCCATCTACTCCACACAATGCTTCTATATCTGGCAAATTTAGGGTACGCACAATATTTGTGCACTGAGTAGAACTCATTTGACTTCTATGTGGTATACACAACCTCATTTCACTGCTTGACTTACAATAGACATGTGTCCACGCTACACTGCATGTCGGTGTATAACGGTTCACTAGTGATGGAGGCAAGTAGTGTATGCATACAAATCTATGAAGTATTGACGAGGATGATGTCATATACATCAATACATCTTCAGTACAGATAGTGATGGGGGGTTAGGGGGCACGGGTGGCTCAATCGTCTAAGGTGCGACGATTCGCTCTGCAGAGTTGTCCCTTGGACACGCCAGAAACCTATGGTTGTGATTCGAATCCTGGTTTGCCCCAATTATGTTTCTAGGTTTGTCAGCACCATACCCGTGCTCGTGGGTTTCACCGAAGTGGTAAACGTCTGAGACCTGCATCACTTCGGGCTTTCCTCCCACATTAAGCTGACATGCCATGATATAACTGGAATACTGTTAAAAGCGGCGTTAACCCCAACTCACTCACTCACAGATAGTGATGCTAATACACATACTGCATGAACCAGAATGTGTCAAGTCACCTTGGTTGTTGCATTGTACATTGTTTATGTAACTAGTTGACTTCTCGTCCCTCAAACTAAATATATTATCATGAATTGATGTGTTGTCTTTGAAACAAACGATAGATCTGACTTGATGTGTAAAATGTGTTATTGTACACCACTCCATGTTAGTTGACTACATGGCTAACTTCACCATTTGCTACAGAAAGATGAATACAAAGTTCATATCAATATAACTACTGAGTATGAAATGAGATTTCAGTGTTCAAAATTAAGAGTGGTTGGGGAACCTAGGGTCCTTAAGGTTTGCTGCTATGGTATTTGAATGTAGGGACCTCTCAATCTAGAACAGTCACTTTATCAGAGCTCCAGATAAGCTTTTGGTGTTGTGGGTATTTTACCCATGCATTTTAAAATCATTGGGTATCAGTAATTCTATCTGGGTATTCAAATTTCTGTTACCCATTAGTTTTTACACAGATGGGTATTTAAATTAAATATTTAAAAACACTATTCATCTAGTCCCTGCAAATTGGTGTCGTGTGGGTTCGAGAGCTTTATAGGACTCAAAAATACCACGATACTTCCACAAGAAAGTGTGATGGCAAATGATCGTGATGTAACTGTCATCGTGGAGTTTGGCAAGGTTGACGGAATGCCTGTTTATAATTTCAAAATAAGTTGCTGATTTCCTAATCCAATACACAGGGTTACTTCACAATATTTTGATGATACGCACAAGTTTTATTTTTGTAGCGTATCTGTAATGTTCGTTGCGTATTTGATACGCTTGGATTTGATTTAACTGCGTATTTCTGCATTTCTGATGCATATTTTACGCAGATACGCAGCTTATCTGGAGCTCTGCTTTAGGATTATGACACATCCTCTATAGCTCGGGGCTTGCATTTGGTTAAACCTACACTAGCCCCTGGACCCTTTCCCATGGTTCTTGCGATCTCTAATTACCCACCCTTGATTTCAATGACATTTTTACCGACTAATCAAACGGCGAGATAAGGAAATTGGAAAGGGACTGCCTCCGCCAGTATTAATGAACATGAAGACATCCTTTCCATCAATAGGGTTTTGAGGGCTTTGTTTCGCATGTCAGTTGTTCAATGTTGAATTCCTCGTCGACTCTTTCGTGGTCAATGGGACTGGCCACCATATGGCTGATGCCGCCAACCCAACATTGAGACTGGTTTGTAACCATTAGACTGAGTAGTGAGGCACATTAAAATGTCCAATGAAAATCAAGGGCAGGTAATTGGAGATCCCCAGAACCATGGGAATGGATTCAGGGATTGGTGCAGGTTTATAGAAAAGTGAGTCCTGGAGATATAGAGGATGGATTATGACAAAGCCCTCTTGATTTTCAAACTTCGAAGACTTGAATAAATACCATGCAACAAAACTGAGAGTTCACAAAGGCAAACTAGTCACTCATCCTGTTTAATAGGTTCAGTCAAGTCCGGGGGCACGGGTGGCCCAGTCGTCTAAGGCACCGTGATTTGCTGTGCAGAGATGCGTTCCTTGGGCATGCCAGAAACCTATGATTGTGGGTTCGAATCCTGGTTCGCCCCGATTATGTTTCTAGGTTTGTCAGCACCATACCCGTGCTCATGGGTTTCACCGAAGTGGTACACGTCTGAGACCTGCATCACTTCGGGCAGCATTAGGAGCAGCAGCACCAGACCCAGACCTCTTTGGTACTGGGATATTGACAGCCTCCACATATCTGCCAACATATCCTGAATGAAGTTTTGTTCCAAACAATAGTTCATTGTTCTTAGACTTAACCAGAATTTCAACAGGGATTGCAATGAACTTGTTGTGTCACCAGTTTCACAAAATTGATTGTACATATTAAGATAATTTTTGTCAGAGGAGAGTGAAACGAATTCTGTTTCTTCTTTCTGTGAGCTAATGGTTGTAAAGTGGAATATCATCTCAGGGCAAGAACTGACATATCATCTGAAGGAATTAATGAGCATGTTCAACAACAAGTGTCTGTGTCTTCAGCTTCCAGTACAGCATCTTGTAATGTTGCAGTGCTCCCCAGTCACTAAAGGTTAAATGTTGGTGCTTTGGTATTATTTTTTATCATCTTTGATTCACAAAAATCTGCTTGTGATAAATTTTAAAACAATCACATCAATTACTCATGGCAAGTCCAATTATAAAATATTTGATTGCATTTAAAAAACCAAGAACTTATTCCAGTGTTACTTATGTAATATGTTGTGGTTTCAGTTAGATTTGCTTGATTTTCCACCTTGAACTAGTTGTGTGTGTTCTTATGTGATTTGTTTTTTTGTTTGTTTGTTTTTTAACGCCACACTCAGCAATATTCCAGCTATATGACGGCGGTCTGTAAATAATCGTGTCTGGACCAGACAGTCCAGTGATTAATATCATGAGCATCGATCCACACATGCATCAACCAAGTCAGCGAGCCTGACCACCCGATCCCGTTAGTCGCCTTTTACGACAAGCATAGTCGCTTTTTTTGTGATGTGTAACTGAGTGCTGCTAGGATTTAAAGGCAACTAGCCACCGCCCTTTGGTATCAGATATTATAATCAGTCCTTACTAGTTTCATGATCCTGTGGAACTGCAGTTGTTGCATATATTGTTGAATAGGGCTGTAATGGTACACTTTATTGCCATATTATCAGATGTTTTCACAATACATGATACGGAGTATGTAACTTGACACTTGTCATATGAAAGAGCTGTGTTCAAGCATCAAAAGGAATAAGATCCTACTAGAACATATGTTATAAACTGTGTAAATTGGACAAATTTTGCCTTGAAAATTATTGTACATACTGTCAGAAAACATGTAGTTTTCCTTGTACAATGCCCACCAAATCTGTTCTGATTTGTTAGAATACATGACCTCATCCATCTTCCCGAGACAAGTGAGTTAACTGACTTTAAGAGCCCAGTTTCCACCCTTGCCGAACTAGGCTGGTATTATGGAGTTACATTTTTTGCCTGACGAACGAGTCTATGCAAAGTCCAATCAAAATCTTGTAACGAAATGGAACTCCAGTTTGTAAACTGTTGTGCAGATTTCGGTTGACTGCAAGATTTGCAGCAGATATTTTCCAAATGTTTTCATGTTTTTAATCAAGGTGCTCAAGTGATTTGATGCACTTTGCAATGTAAGACTGATTTTGTCACAATATAGATCTTGATTATTCATCAGATTGTCTTGCCTGGGTGCCGTCATTTTGTTTGAAGCAAATGCAAGTGATACAAGAGGTGGAATCTGATTGGCCAATAGGAGAGGCATAGAAGGGACACAACTCTTAATAACCACTGGTGGGGCTACGACCAAGCCCAGAAATTCCAGTCTAGTTTGGCAAGGGTGGAAACTGGAATTTTATAGTCAGTTAACTCCCCTGCCTCTGGAAGATGGACCTCACCATACAGTTAGCATATCATTGCACAAGAATTGCTTTGTGCTGATACTTAAGTGAAGTGTTACAGCCCTTGTTGATGTGTTCAGACACAACAGATGTGACATGTGCTTGCCGTCAGTCTTCAGACACCTGGGTGTGTTCAGACACATCTGTAGTCGGATGTTACAGGTGCTTGCCATGAGTGTAAAGGCAACCTGAGTGTGTTCAGACACACCTGTTGTCGGATGTTACAGGTGCTTGCCGTCAGTGTTCAGACACACCTGTTGTCGGATGTTACAGGTGCTTGCCATGAGTGTAAAGGCAACCTGAGTGTGTTCAGACACACCTGTTGTCGGATGTTACAGGTGCTTGCCACGAGAGTGAAGGCACCCTGGACGTGTTGCAGGTAGTTGCCATGTGTTGTCAATAAAGACAACCTGTGTGTATCCCTATAATGAACAGTAACCTTGAATTATGGTTAAAAGTGGGACAAGAGAAAAGAAACCTGCAAATTGTATTGCTAAATTGCTAAAGCTTGGAATAAAACTGGTCACATATTATGGAGAAATTCCCACTGTAATATAGCTGTATATATTGTTCATTGTGGTATTAAACAGCTATTCACACTCACAACAAATATCCAGCAAGACATGCAGAACTGACATGGTTTTTGAACAGCCCAAAATTGTACCATTCCCTCAGTCTTTTTTGGGGCCACTGGGGGGGCCCCAGTTGTCTAAGGTGCCAGAATTTGGCATGCAGAGTTGCATCCCTTAGGCGTGTCAGTTCTCATGACTTCCCATGGGCTGCAGACACATGGTTTGTCTGATTGTCTTCTACAACAGAGTGGGGGCACGGGTGGCCCAGTCGTCTAAGGCGCTGCGATTCGCTGTGCAGAGTTGCGTCCCCTGGACACACCAGAAACCTATGATTGCGGGTTCGAATCCCGGTTCACCCCGATTATGTTTCTAGGTTTGTCAGCACCATACCCGTGCTCGTGGGTTTCACCGAAGTGGTAAATGTCTGAGACCTGCATCACTTCGAGCTTTTCTCCCACATTAAGCTGACACGCCGTGATAAAACTGGAATAATTTTGAAAGCGGCGTTAAACCCAACTCACTCACACAATAGACAGGCAAGACCGAGTCAGTTAACTCTGAGCTTGATCCCCTGTTGCTGACAGGCATGCTCTCTGCCAGTGCTAAGATCTTTTTGTTCTACTTGACTTAGCATTGATATTAGTGAAATGCCAATGTATGTAACAAGTTACAGAAGTGGAATGTTGACTGTTGCCCTTTCTGTAATAAAACAGTCCTGGAATTACATTGTGTTCTGTTGATATTAAATCATTCGTTTCGTTAAGCTGACACACTGTGATATACTACTCAAAAGAAGTTAAGGATCACCTGATTCTTTCATATTACTATAGTTAATCTCTCATGCCATGGCATGAAATATGAAAGAATATCGGGTGATCCTTAACTTCTTTTGAGTAGTATACAACTGGAGTACTGTTCAAAACTCATTCATGGTGTGTTAAAGCAAGGCGTCAAGAATTAGACTTTTCATGGGTTAGAATTTTATTTACAAAACAGATTACACTTCATCTTGGGTAAAATCACAAAGACAGCTCAAAATTAAGATTATCTCCCACTCATGAATTAATGTGCTATTAATTCATTATGTATTTCACAGGTAGAGAAAATCTGCTATTCCTTGTATCTTAGTTCGTTTAAATACATACAATTGCATGTAATGGTTATAGTTCACAGTGACATATAATTTACATTGTATGGGTAATGTTCACAGCACAAAGTAACAATATTGATACCCTTGTCCACACAGTCCTATTGACCACAACTGACATGGACGTTTTTCCCCTTTTTATTTGGCTTACAAAAATGTCTAAATTTCAATGGAGGTCAAAACAATTCACCATTTCTTACCAACCACTGTGATAAAATTATGTGTGTTTTTTTCATTTCACCTTATTGTAAAACAGTCGTAAAAAAAATGGTCACGGAAATCCACTAAAAAATATCATGAGGCCCTGTTTCAGTATTTACTGCTCAACTTTTTGTTAGGAATATTCAATTACTGCAGATGTGTCTCATGACTTCAAAATCTTGTCCTACGAATAGTGAATACATACTTTGAAGTTAACTGAAGCTTTAGCTATATTCAAACATATGAAAGGAATGCGTGCGTAGTCAGAAAAAAAATCGAACATAAGTGACTTGTAGTGTAACCATGGAGTTCTAGATAATTTTTGTCATTAAAAAATATATCATGTGACTAACCACGGGTCCAGGTACTCCTGTGGGTACCCGGGTCCTTCTCAGTACCCACCTGACCCGAGTAACCCGTCCCAGCCCTAGGCACAATGTTTGCTTGTAAACACTAAAAGTAGTACCTGACAAATATTGCATAGTTATCAGAAAATAACCCCAGTGGATACATTTTTTATCCACTTATCCTGCCAAGGAACCTACCCATTATATCAAAACAGAAACATTATCTGTTTCCTTATCAATAGTTGAGCAGTATACTTATTTGTGCTCATTGTCTTTGGAAATGTGATCATGGACTCAAGCATCAAAGCTTTAACAGAAAACAATACAACACCATCCAATTATTGCAGTGCTAAATAAACAACGATAAGACAACAAAAGTAATGAACACTAATTACAGCAACACAAATTGGGTGAATTTGCAGAGAATATAAGTTACCAGTACCTATATACAGCTCACAATAGAATATGAAAACAATCATCAATTTATCCCATAAATCGGAAAAAATGTCTGTTATATACTGAAAACATTTTGTACATAGTATTTCTCTCAATCAATCCAATATACACACACACATTCCTTGCACAAATACTCAGTCATACAAACATCCATGAATGGTTCTAGATTATGCACAAAAGCCAATGTGATTGTTTATCAACAGACTTTATGGGTAGTAACCATTTGAAGTGGGGGTGGGGTGTCATTAATTACATATGCTTTGCATTGTAGGAAAAAGCAATGTGCCTTTTTTTGCAGACAAGTGTTCAAAGTTCATTATTGAGCACCTGTTTATGTTGAGCTCCTAACCATTAAAAAATTCTGACCTCAAACCAAAATTCCACCACTCCTACCCCTTGAAAATCAAATGGTTACTCCTTTCACAAAAATGCATGATTTTGTTGTTGATTAAAATTTAATCCTGCAATGTGTGTGTGTGTGTGTGTTTATATACCGGTACATGTAAATATAGAAACTGTTAAAGGTTGCATCATCAGATTCATAACTGTCACAAAACAATGTTTATTGTGCAACTGCAACCTTTGCTCTTCAAATATTGACCAAGACATCCCTGCAGATCTAACAACAGCAAATCTGTCATTTATTAAAATGCCTGACAATTTGAAGGGCCATTTATCAATGTCGTTGAAAGGGTTGCTATGCCTTGAAGGGTTGAAGATATTATTTTACATGCAGTTTTGTGTGTGCAGCATCAAAATCAAGCCAGTAAGAGCCACACAATGAAAACAATGGCCACCCACAGGAATACTCTTGACAGGAACTGTTCTTCTGCATGCTGTGGGGAGTTGACTGTTGCTGAAACAAACACATACAGCTGATGAGGACATTAATTTGGGACTAATTCATATTCTATTTCTGCAGATACTTTATTGATTTTTTTTCCATGTTTCATATCATCACGGGTTGGGTTGTCTGTTTGTTGTTTAACGCTGCACTCAGCAATATTCCTGCAATATCATGGTGGGGGACACCAGAAATGGGCTTCACATTGTACCCATGTCGGGAATCGAACCTGGGTCTTCGGCGTGACGAGCGAACGCTTTAACCACTAGGCTACCTGACTGCCCTTTCCAGCAAGGAAGGTGGCATGTAAATAATAGACTCTTTACCAGACAAACTAGTGATTGTTATTGTAACAGCAATCCACAGTACTGGGGTGGGATAACTCGCCATCAACCATGGGATGCCAAACAAACATGATTTGAGACCAATACTAACCTGAAATACTCACCGGGTTGGTTTAACATGTTTTAAAAAGTATTTGAGCTATATCACAGAATACCGATTTGATTTTGGAGGAGCTCAAAGATATGGAGGTCGCAGACATTAACATGTGAGATACCACTATGAGCAACCTGCTAGCCAGTATGTGAAATTGCCTCTACATGTTGCCATCCTCGCTGGCCTTAATGTTACTGGCCAGTTAAATTTTCACTAATTAAATATGTGACAGTTTATTTATCCAAAGATTTGATACTGCAAAGGTATCAATCCAGTAAATTGCAAATTATGAGTCAAATATTATGAAGGAGGGTAAGTCTGATCTTGCAACCTTGATTCGATTATCAATTTTTTATGGATAAACTGACCAACCGAAACGGAAGAATTTTATTTTATTATGATCAACGAAGAGGTGTGCATACAAACATCAATGTTAAAGTTTCAATAGCCAGTCAGGCTAGAGAAATTTCAGAATCATAAATCCAACCAAATGTTTGCTTGTCCCGGGCTAGTGGGCAGATGGCTATTTTGCACACCACTGCAAACATGAGCAAGGAACCAAGGGTCATATCCAAGACGACCTTGTGACCAATGGTGCCTAGGGGCCTAAATCAACATGACAAAGTGCAGCACTTTAGATCAGTGTGAACTTCATGCCCCCCCTTACATATCAAAGGTCTTTAAATATGATTATAAAATCACAGATGTGCTTACAGTAGAAACATAAAGTACAAAGACGTGGTTTCAAGAGCGAGTTTTTGTGAACAATCATGTTTGTTCTTGTGAATTTAAGAACAAAAAGCAAATACATATACATATTCTATTTCACTTTCAAAGGAAGTTTGGCTGGCGATTTCAAAAAAGGAAAAACCAGTGGCCTTAGTTATATGAATAAAGACAAACATCTCTGACACAGGCTGACAAATTTCTGAATGTTTCATATTTGAAGGTAATACTTACGTGGACCAGGTCGGCCATCATTGAAGTTAAAGGTTGAGGCAAAAATACCAAAGGGAAAGGCACCAATACCGAATGAGAACTGAAATCCTCCATCACCGAGGCCAAAACCACCAAATCCCTGAAACAAATAAAACCAGGAGAAAATATGATTGAGAAGTGGAACAATGTATTACATGCAAATGGGACATGATGTGTACAAAGACAAAGTGAGTGAGTGATGTTTTATGCCGCTTTTAGCAATATTCCAGCAATATCACCGCGGGGGACACCAGAAATGGGCTTCACACATTGTACCCATGTTGGGAATCGAACCCGGGTCTTCGGCGTGACGAGCGAACGTTTTAACCACTAGGCTACCCAACCGCCTGTACAAAGACAGAAGCAGCATCAATACAATATATTTCTCCATGGCAAAATATTGTCTGTCCCTTGTTTCCTTAGAAAGAATACCCATGTGGGGATCCTGGATAAGCATTCATCCCCAACATATTGCTGGTTCATTGGTCATAAGAGGCAACTTAATGGATTGAGTGGTCAGACTTGGTAACTTGGTTAATAGCATATACCTCTATATTTTAATTTGGAGCCAAGCGCTTTAACTAAAATAAAGAGGTATCTACTCTACCCAGTGGGACTACATCAAATTTCAAAACACAGTAGGTTTATCTCCATTCTACCATGACGACAACAGCGGTTTGAAAACTGTGCTCTCTTGCAACGCGCAACAACACAGGTACACAATCTTAGAACATTCCGAAAAGTGGTCACAGGTAGTTATAACTTAAGTTCAAGATCAAAAACACCATAATCTTGAGTAGTTCAAAATAAGTGTTCAAAACACATAGTTTTTCAAAAGGGTTGACAAAAAACACTCCAAACTTAGTCCAAAGACAGATGTTATAATTTCTACCATCCCATCCTGCACTGTTTGGACTGGCTTTGTCATTTCTTGGAATTATACGAGAGAGGTCATTTCTTGGAAATCGAACATGCCATTTCCATCGTAGGGGTGACGTAGGTTGTTCAAAAAGGTCTTAAAGTGCTAAATAAATATATTTCTACAACAAACTTTATGAATTAACATTCACTTATACATTTAACATGTGCAAGTGTTATTAGTTAGTTTACCCCTAGTAAACAATAATACATGTACCATCAAAATCAAATGCCTCTCCACCCCGAACTTGGATGTGGCATAACTTGACCTACATCACGGTTACTCACACCTGGCAGCTGTCAATGGCTGACAATCTTGTGTTTACATTCTCTGTAACTAGTTAAATGAAGCAGGATGACAACCCCAATCAATGATGTGGTTCAACATTAACCTGTAGATTTACTGGGAATGATCGAGCCTGCTGGTACAATATGACACCAATGAAACTGAGTATGACTGAACAGCCACTTTTTAGCCTGCAGACGACCCAAACATTTTGTCATGACGTAGGGCCTATCTGCATTGTGTGCCTGTCAATTTCAAGATTTCATGGATTCAAAGCTAGAGTGTGAATTAAATGAGACATCCGTGGCCCAGAAATAGTGGGTCGTGTATGATTTTCTTAATTGTGCGTGTTCTGAAATGAATTTCATCAAGTTTGACTTCATTGATGTCGGGACATTGTTTTCGTGGATTTTCGAATGGACGAGTGTTTTCTGACTTTCAAATTCTCTTCTGCCAAATCCTTATGATGTTGGTTGACGGAGACGGCAATGAATATCGATCACAAAAAGGTTTGTAAACAACATGTTGTCATGAATAAAGTTTTTTCAAACAATTTTTATAATGTTATGTTATACTTTCATTGATGGTTGTTTCAATGAGGAAATTGAGCCCTTGACTCAGCGTGTATTAGAGACCTGGCTGGTATTAGAGGTGAAGTGAAATTGGGTTTAACGTCGCGTCCAAGATTATTGCACTTATATAGCGACGTGCATGTACGTGTGTGTGTTTGTGTGGCTGCTTGTACTAGTCCGGACTGATGCCGATTTATAGTGCTAGCTCACTGAGATACCATGCCGCAGTTTAACATGAATACCCCACTCAGACACAGTATACTGACTCCGAACCGACCAGTCCTTGCTTTAGCCCCTTAATGCCGAGCGCCAGACAGGGTCACAACAAGTACCATCTTTTAACGTCTTTTGGTATGACGCGGTCGGGGATCGAACCCCAGACCTTCCGCTCTCCGGATGGACGCTCTACCACTAGACCACGGAGGCGGTCGGCTGGTATTAGAGACCCAGCGTGTATCAGAGGAAATATAGATACGTTTTACAGTTCATATGGGGGTGATTGATTGGGAGCAATTTTTTATGAATCGGTATGTAGGCTATCTATGTATTCATACGCATGTTTTTTTGTGAAAAAGCTTAATATATTTGAAAGGGGTTTCCGTAGCAAAAAGGAAACCTCTTTTTAACCAATCAGAATCAAGCATTCATCAATGCCATGGCAGAATTCAACTCATTCGATGCCAAATCTTGAGTAGCTTAAAACGGCTGATTAATTACAGTCTTCTTGTGATAATATTTATACTTAAATAGCTTCAAATGTACTTTCGTAGCTGTCGAGCAAATATTCTTAGGACCATTGTATATACATATATATAAACAAAACTTCATGAAACTCTTCTTTACTTTGTTCAAATGAAAGTATCATCTAACAAAGTGGCTTCCAACAGAATCTTAACATTAGACAAACTCATCTGATGACGAATGAATGCTCACCACAGTCAGTGATCAAACATTTCTGTACTGTAATCATAACAGGATCAATCAAATCCTACATTCTATTTGCAGAACATTGAAAACAGATGCATTACAGCATTAGAAATTGGCACTAGTCCTTGCAAAACTGCCCAATAGTTAAGTTATCCTAAGGACTAGTAGTAATTTGCCCTTTCTAAGGGTTTTGCTATGTGTTATCATTATAAGGAATAGTGGACGAAAAAGTCTTAGTTTCTAACACTGTGCAAAAGAAATACAGAGTGAATTCACTGCTGAATGCTGCTACTTCATAATTTGGTACCAAGTAGAATTAATTTCCTGAACAATGTTAAGTAATTATGGTAAATTGGTAATCATTCAAAAAATACAATCCACAATCAAATGCTTCATGCACCAGCTCTTGCAATCTCATTAAAATCTGATCTTAGATCTCGCTATTGCTAAACAAAGACCTGAGGACATCCCATTAAGGGTCACGTCAGAACGGCCTTTCATCCAACCAATCAGAGCGTCGCTTACCAGATCATGAAAATGACAGTCGGAATGTGTTTTCTAATCATGCAACCACAAAATATTTAACACAGGGTATTCTGAACGACAGTAACGGGTTTTATGATTATATCCATACAATCTAGGCCATATATAAGCCGTTCCAGAATGTTCTTCTTATCAGTTTTATTTTTTTTTATCGAGAATACGCCAAATTATATTTCGAAGAGTAGTCGCCAGTTTGAAACTAGTGTCGTAAAGCTTGAGAAAGCTGCCTTCTGATTGGCTAATGTCGATTTCTTATCAGTCATTTCATTGGTCGGTCAAAATTTGTGAAAGGTCGTTCTGACGTGACCCATAATGGGATGTCCCCCAATCTTTGTTTAGCGGTAGCAAAAACTAAGATCTGATTTTAATGAGATTGCAGCTCTTGCAGAACCACTTCAATTTGGGAACTCCACATCCAGGTCTCTGAGCACGCACGATATTACTTCAATCATATAGGAGTACCACATCAAATGTTTTACATTTCTCTGGGACCCCATTTTGTAGCTTGGGACCCACACAATTAAAGGCCTCTGAGTTCCCTGGACCCCAAAATTAATTGAGCCAGGTATATCCTTGATGATTATAAATTAAAACCACCTACCCCTGATCCTTCTGGTTCTGACCTCTGACCAGGTGGACGTGGTGGAAGTTTCTCCCTGTAGATATACATAGTTTAAAAAAATGATATATATATAGTATTATACATTAAACAATACTGTAGATCAGGATGCTGAAAATAAAGCAGTGTTCATAATTAAGGGACGTCCCTTGGGTCCTTAGGGCTTTCATATATTATCTAGGGACCCTGTCATATTCTTTAACATTAGCTCCATGGCAAGGACCCCTATACTTTTATGCTTGATTTCAAACAATGAAGGATATGAACATGACGAAAAATGAAAACAAAATTCATACTAATATTACAACAACGATATTACAAATATTGGTGAATTAAAAATAATAATCTTTGATTTTGTGGGAGACAAAAGGACATTTTCAAGATTGTATCAACTTTTGATAGGACATTTTTCTACATATTATCACCAATTTTGATAAAAATCTTCAGGATATTTTATTTACTATCAGTCAATTGACACTTTCCTATCCCATGTCTAACCAAATAATTCCCCTCACGATCCATTTCGAGGGTGCTGTACCATGTGCACTTTAAATGGGTGCACATTTTTAGATTACAATTAGCGGCATAGTGACATAACTGCATGATTGATGTCATGTTGCCAGCTTTGCTTTACTACAGGACCAAGGGCAATATCACTAGTGTAATTATTGTTCTGTTAACCAGTGATCATGGTGATAATGCATGTGTGTATAAACAAATGTAAATGTTTCAACGGGAAACACCAAATGTTTTTGATGAAAATTTGGAGATGCTTTCAGAACACATTTGGAAACATATCTAAAAGAGGCAAGAACGCTAACCATAACTCGCAACTAACCCTAAGGTTTGAAAGCGGTATCTATCCCTAATGATCGTGAAGGGGGGATTGATCCGAAAAGGGACCTATCCTAACACAACTAACCATACCTTTAACTTTAAGCATGATGAGGACTGAATGATGAGGTTGATGAGATCAGAGAAGCATAAACCACAGCTGGAGCCAATTAGAGTCATATATACTTAAGTGGTGTTAGCATATACATAATATAGCTGTGTCATGAAAACGTAAGTCTTGCACACGTTGTATCCATTTCCATAAAATAATGATCTTGTTTAATTAACATGGTTATATGTAACCATTCTCAGACATGCTTCATACCTGGGATCCTGTGGATTGGGGTTACCTCTTCCATATATAGGAATAACTTTGTCTTTGCTTATTCCAGCCTTACAAACAGGACAGGTCTGCCGATTCGGTCTTGTTTCTATCCACTGGTGAAGACACGCCCAACTGAAAGATCAATAAGTGATAATTATATCATGAACATTACTTAGATTCCTCAAAGATATATTGAGACACCCATTGGATAAACATGGTCATAACAAACAATATATCACATTATATGAATGATCATAAAATCTATGAAGTCTGAATGTAGATCTACACGTTGTGTTTTAATTTACCAATAATGAAAACTGAGATTTGGAGACTGGTTTTAATAGAGTTACACTATATAGCATCCGATAACAAAATGAACATTGTACGGTCTTGCGCGTACGTTATCCATATGTTAGTAACTGGATATATCAAGACAGACCTTGGGCTCGTTTTGATTGAATTTAAAATTTACGTACCAAAATAAATGCCCGCACATACTGACAACTGGGTCGTGGGCAGTGTCCAGGCATATGTTGCATTCGTAAACAGAACCGTCATTATCTTCATTTTGATCAGAGGAGCCTGCGCCACCTCCTCCTGAGTTTGGTGCTTCAGTTGTGCTACCTGTACTCATTGTTAACCGCTGAATTCTAAAATAATCTACAACAACATCGTCAACAATATTTGACACGGCTTCTTCTGCAGGAAGCGGAATTAATGCAGTGTCTTACGCATGCGCCGAATAGTTTGTACAAAATATGTATTCAGCAGCAGAAACGAAACCATTTAAACATGTAAAGTTGATACGTACTGGGTTCGGTGTACAAAGCGATCTTAGCGCTGAGGTGATCGTAACTCATATACATTAACGTGGACTTACGTCAGTCGTAGGTTGTTTTGTACAACGGCACCCTAGTTTGTAAATAATTGATACATTACACTTTCGCGTGATAAGTCTTTACCTGAATAACTGACCAACTACATGTCTTAATTTAAATTACCTCTATTTATATTGAGGTCGCACTTCTTTCCACACAGCATGCACCTCTTTGCACATTGAACAGGTTTAAACTTTACTTTAGAGCTTTTTATAACAAGAAAGTACCATCGGGGAACATAGCACATGAATATTCTTAGTATCTTGTATCATACACAATTCCTGATTAATTCTGTTGTGAAACATAATTAAATATCCCTTTTGAAACTTGATCGACTCATGTGGGAAAATTATGATCTTACGTTTGATTAAACCAATTGAGTTTCCTGAAGATTTTGGTGTCTTAACAAATAGCAGTTTTACAAAGAAAACTAAACCCCTTTTCGTTTGTTTTACATTTCTGTAATTTGATAAACCAAGATGTCAGCTTACAGCAGACGACGCGTGTTGTGATTGCAACATCTTTTCTTGCAGTTTCCACCAGCTTCCCGAGCGTTGGGCTCCACGTGGACGAATTCAATTGGAAGGTTGTTGTTTATCTGTGTGAGAATTACCGTATTTGCGTTTATTTGCTCTTACAATATGTAGATCTTAACCACTGAGCCGACAAATTTTGCAAATTTTCAACGACCCCTATCATCAACTAACCAATGTCACTGTGGTACCTTCACTGTCAGTTGTTTGAACCATCGGTTTGAAATTACCATGAAGAAATACCAGTGTACTTTCGCTTATTTGACATGTTCGTAAAGGGAGCCAATGTGCTCGGGTGAAATGGCAGTCACTGCAATTGTGATTCATAGAACACTCTTTATTGGTCAACCAACTCAAGCTTATGTTGCATAAAAATCTTGTGGTTTAACATTATTCTAACTAAACCGATATAATGTAAGAATTTCGCAACAGTCACTGAGTTCAACATAAAGCCTTGAAAAGGGCAACACGGAGCATAGTCTCCATTTTACATGTTTCTGTTATTTTAGATTTTAATGACAGACAGTGTGGTTGGACTAAAATGATTAAAAACACTAGCACGCTCAATACGAATATACTCAGGGCAAATATGAAAAGAATAATATTGATACATAATAAGTTCAGTGCATAAGTTCATGACTAATAGGCCAACCATCTTTTTTGAGAATGCCAACTTTTTATTCACTTTTAGTAGCTGAGTTGTCAGTGTCATGTTGGGAAAAGGCATGGTCTAGTTCAGATGGATGCAAAGACCTGCCATTCTGATGATACTTTTGACAACCTAATCTAAAGTTAAATATTATGATAAAGTCACGCTATTGTTGTTGCTGTTGATACTCAGAGCCAGAAATTCAATAGCCATTCTGAATGTGCATTTATTTTTAACAAGTAAAACTGGTGCAACTATAGATCATTATGCAAAATTATAGAGAAGTTATATATCAACCAGAACATGGTTTAAGTCAGAGAAATCATGAGAATCTGTTGATTCTGTAACTAGATTCAATGAGCCCTGAAGTCTGGAATATACAGATTCTCGTGATTTCTGAATTACAGAATGTTAGAAACTCTCAGCTCTATGCATGCCACAATGGCACATACAAGATCAATAGACAAGAACTTGACCTAAATAGTTACTTAACTCTTGAGACAAGTTTACTAACATGATTAACAGAAACATTGTCTATTACCGGTCCTATGTCCAAACTAATTGTGATTCCAATGCTTTTGTAAATAAAAACATCATTTCTTTTAAAACAGATCAATATAAGCGATTAACAACATATAACAGATTGTAATTACAAATTAATATATTTCCATATGCGGCTTGCCTACATATTATGTGTGATATCCTTTGGAAACTGCCAACATCTCTTCATTTTTTTCAGTGTAAAACATTGGACATATGATGTTATCAACAGTTTTTGGAAAAGGGACTCAAGTATATGCCTTGGGAAGGATGTGCCCAAGGTGTTTGAGAGAGTCTTGGAAGAGTATATCTTTCATTAGATACTTCAGCAATTCAGCCTCTAACAAGTTTTATCCTCAGAAATCCATTCACCAAATACAAGTGATCCATGTTTCTTCAAGGACAAGCCTTTTAAGAAGAACTTCACATCCTAATTTTTCCTTTGGCTTATTACCCATAAGTCTGTCAGCTGGCCTGACTCGTTCTTACGTCACAAGTGCAGGCATTCAGAAAACTGTGACTGGCCTAGTTGCCAAGAGACCAGCGAGAAAAAAAGTTATACCTTCTAAAGAAGCCCAGGTAAAAGTTTTTTTTGGTCTTGCTTTATTAAGGTTTTATTTTTTCACATTAGATTGAGTGAGTTGGGTTTAACGCCGCTTTTAACAGCATTTCAGTTATATCACGGCGTGTCAGCTTAATGTGGGAGGAAAGCCCGAAGTGATGAAGGTCTCAGACGTTTACCACTTCGGTGAAACCCACGAGCACAGGTATGGTGCTGATAAAGCTAGAAACATAATCAGGGCGAACTGGGATTCGAACCCACAATCATAGGTTTCTGGCGTGTCCAGGGGACGCAACTCTGCACAGCGAATCGCAGCGCCTTAGACGACTGGGCCACCCATGCCCCCTTTTTACATTAGACCCAATTTTATTTTTTACTTGAACTGTATCATCATGTCATGGGAGCCAAATTACTTTCCTACTGATATGCATTGCCTGTCAAGTCAGTGTATGCAACAGTATTTCAGTTGTATCAAATCTTGTCATGTTTTTCCCTTACTGTAATGCTGTAGCCCTAAATGAAGCAAGCCTAGATTTTTCACAGGTTCAGCTTCTGAATCTCCCATCACAATGGGGCTCCTTTTCAATTTAAATGTAGTTTCTTGTTTCTATCAAAGTTATATATTTTCAGAGACTAAGCGTTAGTCTAGGATAATAAGGATTATACTCAGAACTATTCTGGGATTCAAACTCCATATACTGTTACTGAGTGTTGTTTTATGAAAAGATAATTGTTCACTGACTGATAGATATTTGTTAAGTGAACACAGTTAATAACACTTCTGATCTCCATGATAATCCAATTGCCCGAATGTGGTCATATTTGTTATAGGATGGCAAGATGATGGTGACAGCATATGCTATGGCTGAGGAGTTAAACATCTCTCAGCTGAGGAAGGCACTAGAAGCCCAGGGACTGTATGTCATACATGAACTGCCAGTCGGTGATTACACTTTCAGTGATTCAGATTGCTAAGGGACCTTGAAATAAGCAAATGACTCCCCATCTATGAGCAATATGGCCCCCTAGCCCTATATTTGTCTGTCACAGGTAATCATGATAATGACAATGGGTGGTTTGGTCCCTAAGGCCCTTTGACAGTACAGTCTGTATATTACATTGATATAAATGGGAGAGGGAGATTTACCTTTTCAAGTACTGAGTATTTATGACAGTGACTGCCCCATATATCTGTCCCAGTCATCACTCTAAATGACTCTAATGAGTAAAATATACTCACTCTGTCAGCTCAGGTTTTCATTTCTAAGGGTTGCTAAAGATTCACTGAAGTCTGGAGAATTATGACTCTTCAAAGGGACAATTTATACCGGTACAATCTCTTGGTGTTATTTTCCACTATCTTCACTGCCTATCTCTAATTCTGATCATGAGCTATTTCTTCTTATTCTCAGATGTGACCGGAGGCCTATATGCAAAGGCCAAGTACAAGGTGGATAAAGAACTTAGAGAAATGTTTTTTTTCAAGTAAGTATCTATTTCCCCATCAGCTGTTCAATGACAAAAATAATAAACTTAATTAAACAGTAACTTACAAACCCTCTGGAATAAAGGGATATATTTCTTCAGTCCATGGATAATTTTAACAGCATTTGAAAGTCCGTGACAATTATGTTAAATTGTATCTGTATAAATGAATGTCAGATTACGAGTGAAGTGAATGTGAATTCATTGTGAAAGTGAATTTATTTGTGTACGTTTCCTCAGGGCAGAATTGTCCAAATGTTTACTTCTTCCATTGGGATATCATCAGTCATCACTGGATGAGATGATGAAGTCCACAGAACTTATGTATATAAGTACAAGTATATCCATACACAGTTGTCCAACATCACAGTCAGCAATGTTCGAGATAACGATGGTGGACTGTATATGATCAAATCTGGACCAGACAACCCAGTCATTCCTATGAACAACAATGCCTTGCTGTTAGGGTTAAGACGACATGCTATTAACCAGTCAGCGAGTCTGTTAGTCGCGTCTTACGACAAGCATAGTTGGTTCCTACGGCCTGGGTGGCTGGGGACTTATTTTAACCCCGAATCCTCACAGTGTACACTCAAGCAGCACCAGGGCCAACAGCCAGGATTGTCTCTACAAGCCTAGCCTAGTGGTTAAAATGTTTGCACTTCATACTGATAACTTAGGTTTGATGTGCAAAGCCAATTTTTTGGTGTCCCCCACCATGATATTGCTGGAATATTGCTAAAAGCGACATTAAATCCTTACTCACTCAATCACTCACTCTACATACAGTGGTTTCTCTGTTGAAGCCCTTTTCAAAACTTTCTCTTCCTCTTTATAAAATAGTGTTTCAATTATACAGAAATACCAACCATTATGATTTTGGCAGAATCATTATGATAATTTGAACCAAATTTCAGCAGTCTGATCAAGTGAAATATCTTACACTTAATTTAATCCAGATCTTGAACTAACTACATTCATTGTCAAATAAACAACCAATGAACCAATTAATTGTCACTTGTTTTACCTTTTGTTGGGTAAGGCTTTGAAGAGTTAGGGTGCTTAAAAAATAATGCCAAACATTTCTTATTACGACAGACATGCCGATATAATATTTATTAATCATTTTTCTTTGAAAGTTTTTTTGATAAATGCCAGATATTCCTAATTTTTTGTTAATGGGATGGCATCTGTGAATGCGGTTCACCCATTATATGGTTTTCATGGGCAATAATATATATATGTGTTGTTAAAATGTTATTGGTTGAAACATGGATAATAAACATTCAATGAAAATATGTGGCACTTAATTAAAGGTGTCTGGACAATAGAAGGTCAACAATAGAATGTTATTATTCAGATCATGGCTGGAGGGGAATAACCAGGGGCACAATGAGTATTGTGTACAGTATTGACAATATAGCAACCTAGGAGGTGAGGTGAGATGAAATGAGGTATAACGTCGTGTCCAAGACTATTGCACCTTTATAGTGTCATGCGTTCATGCTTTCATACTTTTGTGAGTGTTTTTTTGCGTGCTTTTGTGCGTGCTTTCGTGCGTGAGTGCGCGCTAGTATGGACTAATGCCGATTTTATATTGCTAGCCCACTGAGATTCCATGCCGCAGTTTTAACATGAATACCCAACCTAGGAGGTGAGCATCTTCCCTAGGCAAGAGAGTTAACTGACTGTAAAAGTCCAGTTTCCACCCTTGGAATTCCTGGGCTCAATCGAAGCGCCACCAGTGGTTATTACGAGTGCACGCTAGTCTGGACTAATGCCAATTATATAGTGCTAGCCCACTGAGATTCCATGTCGCAGTTTTAACATGAATACCCCACTCAGTTACTGACTCTGAGCCAACGAGTCCTTGTTTTAGCCCCTTAAAGCAGAGTGCTGGACTGGGTTACAACAAGTACCATCCTTAAACGTCTTTTGGTATGACGCAGCTGGGGATCGATCCCCTGACCTTCCTCTCTCTGGGCGAAACATCTACCACTAGACCACGGAGGTGGTCGCACCCTGGGCAGACTGTATCAGTCCATGCACAGATACAGGGTGAGCTAATGCATATATAGATGCCAGTGACCTTTGCTTGTTGTAAGAGGCAACTGAACTGATTGGGTGGTCTGGGTTTGGGACTGTTGATTGCGTTATCGTAGATTGACAGCATGAATTGTTGCTCATGTTATCACTATTGGATTGTGTGGTCCAGACTTGATAATTTACAGGCTGCCATCGTATCATATAGGAATATTACTAAGTGCTTCATTGTTCTAAACAAAAACACACACACACACCACTATCATTATGCATTTTGAATAAATATTCTCATGTGAGCACTATAATAGTATTGATTATAAAACAACGTAAGCAAAAATATCAATTATGGAGAATCTGCTATTTCAAAACTTGAACATTGTTGAAGGGATTGTCCAAAATATGCTTCAAAAGTTCTATTGTTGCACATCTGAATCTCTTATGGATTGAGTGAATGACTTAGAATGGTTGTACACTGCTTTTAGCAATATTTCAGCAATATCACGGTGGGGGACACCAGAAATGGGCTTCACACATTGTACCGATGTGGGGAATCGAACACATATGGATTAAGAATATTAAATGTAATAAATAAAAATTTATGTTTTCTTTAGGATAGGTTCTGTGGTCTTTTGGAATACTCCAGAAGTTGAGGTATGTACTTGTTAGCTTAATCACAATACCATGTTCCTCTGAACTACCTATTGTGAGGTCATGCAACACATGACAAGGATTTGTAATGAGGAAATTTAAAATGGTATGGACAATATTTATTTTAATGGACTTGAATATACTGAATATGTTCTGGATGGTCATTCAATGTCATTCTGGAATGTATCTACTAAAAACATGACAGAGTTTTTAATGTATCACAATGTTTCCATACTATCAAGGTACATATGCTGTTCAACAAAGTGTATAGTTACACTTCTACTAAATACGACCCGTGAAGATTCCGGGGTAGAATAGGTCTTCAGCAACCCATGCTTGCCGTAAAAGGTGACTCTGCTTGTCGTAAAAGGCAACTAACGGGATCGGGTGGTCAGGCTCGCTGATTTGGTTGATGCATGTCATCGATCCCAATTGTGTGGATCTATGCTCATGATATTAGTCACTGGATTGTCTGGTCCAGACTTGATTATTTACAGACCGCCGTCATATAGCTGGAATATTGCTGAGTGCAGCGTTAAACAACAAACCAACCAATCTACTAAATACAGGGGGTAGGAGCTGTAGGACATTTAAAGTTAGGGGGGCTCCTGTGGTCCTGGACATTTTCTTCTGTGGTATTGTAATCTAGGGACCATCTAATTATTGGAAGTTTTTAGATCAGGCTATGGCTATCTTGGCTTTAATGTTTATTGTGAACATTGATGTTCCCTGATCATTATAACATGGCGATTGCCATGGTAGCATTGCTAAGATTCTATTGTACATGTTTGCAGAGAAGTGAAGTGCTGAAGTTTCTCAGGAGGCACTGTGAGGCTCCCTATGACAGGAGTATCGTCATGCATGAGATGGAAGACATGCCCTTTATTATGACAAAGTATGTAGCGGAATAGTCATGCAGTTGTTTATGTTTCGTTATGACTAAGTTTATATCTTTAAGCATCATACTTATCAGACTTTAAGTTATACTTATCAGTCTTTAAATTTCTCTTGGAGTCAGGTGTTGCAATGAGAGGGTGTTTCTATTCGAAACGTCTTGTTGAGCAATCAGAATTGAGTATTTTCCAAACACATGGTGAAATATTTAATAAATATTTTGTCAGTGAGCCGACAAACCTGGTGGGTGAGTTGATCCAGATACATGAGAAAGAGGAAGAGGAGGGCCACCAGATTCTGGAGAAGTACACCTTCTCCAACGCCCTGTCTCAGGCTGGTAAGAGGGAATCAATCATATCACAGCTAGTACACCTCCAATGCCCTGTCTCAGGCTGGTAAGAGGGAATCAATCATATCACAGCTAGTACACCATCTCCAACGCCCTGTCTCAGGCTGGTAAGCGGGAATCAATCATATCACAGCTAGTACACCTTCTCCAATGCCCTGTCTCAGGCTGGTAAGAGGGAATCAAACATATCACAACTAGTACACCTTCTCCAACGCCCTGTCTCAGGCTGGTAAGAGGGAATCAATCATATCACAGCTAGTACACCTCCAATGCCCTGTCTCAGGCTGGTAAGAGGGAATCAATCATATCACAGCGAGTACACCTTCTCCAACGCCCTGTCTCAGACTGGTAAGAGGGAATCAATCATATCACAGCTAGTACACCTTCTCCAACGCCCTGTCTCAGACTGGTAAGAGGGAATCAGTCATATCACAGCTAGTACACCTCCAATGCCCTGTCTCAGGCTGGTAAGAGGGAATCAATCATATCACAGCTAGTACACCTTCTCCAACGCCCTGTCTCAGGCTGGTAAGAGGGAATCAGTCATATCACAGCTAGTACACCTTCTCCAACGCCCTGTCTCAGGCTGGTAAGAGGGAATCAATCATATCACAGCTAGTACACTTTCTCCAACGCCCTGTCTTTGGCTGGTAAGAGGGAATCAATCATATCACAGCTAGTACACCTTCTCCAACGCCCTGTCTCAGACTGGTAAGAGGGAATCAATCATATCACAGCTAGTACACCTTCTCCAACGCCCTGTCTCAGGCTGGTAAGAGGGAATCAATCATATCACAGCTAGTACACCTTTTCCAACGCCCTGTCTCAGGCTGGTAAGAGGGAATCAATCATATCATAGCTAGTACACCTTCTCCAACGCCCTGTCTCAGGCTGGTAAGAGGGAATCAATCATATCACAGCTAGTACACCTTCTCCAACGCCCTGTCTCAGGCTGGTAAGAGGGAATCAATCATATCACAGCTAGTACACCTTCTCCAACGCCCTGTCTCAGGCTGGTAAGAGGGAATCAATCATATCACAGCTAGTACACCTTCTCCAACGCCCTGTCTTAGGCTGGTAAGAGGGAATCAGTCATATCACAGCTAGTACACCTTCTCCAACGCCCTGTCTCAGGCTGGTGAGAGGGAATCAGTCATATCACAGCTGGTACACCTTCTTCAACGCCCTGTCTCAGGCTGGTAAGAGGGAATCAATCATATCACAGCTAGGACACCTTCTCCAACACAGGGGGGCATGGATGGTCTGCAATTCACTATGCAGAGTGGCGTCCTTGGGCATGCCAGTAAGCTATGAATGTGGGTTCAAATGCTGCTTTGCAGTGATTATATTCTTTGGTTTGTCAGCACCATACCTATGCTCATGGGTGTCACCAATGTGGTAAACATCCTAGACCTACAGTACATCACATTGGGCTTCCCCCACACACATTAAGTTGACGCACTGATACAACTGGAATACTGTTTTATGCAGGGTTTAAACCCAACTCACTCACCCAACACAGGGACTTAGTTGGAATTTCTGTATAAGGCACCTTTGGCAGGAAAATTTGGAAAATATTTGCAATGTTTTTATTTGTTATTATTTTCTTTAATTCAGAAGTAATTTTACAGTAAATTCAATGAAATAATGTATAACTAAGCATTAGTGAGTCTAGTCCTGAGATTAATGACACCTAGCCCATTACATGTAGTTTAAAGTTGGCTACCTCTATGAAAGATGGATACCAGAAATATAGGTACTTGTAATAGTAATACTGTGATATTTACTCCATACTCCAGGGTAGTCTGCCTTTATCAACCTACTTCCTATCAATGTGGTGAATAATGAACTCTAGCCATAATAAACTGAATTTTAGAGTCCTGTTATGTTGTGACTGTATTCATAAACAGCAGTGATGTTCAGTTCAGATGTTGTGAGGCAAATAAAGACTCACAGCCCAGCATATGAAATGAGTCATCAGTACATTTGGCTAGTAAGACCATAACTTGGTTTGTGGCCAATCAGTCCGCCTCCGTGGTCTAGTGGTAGAGTGTCTGTCCGGTGAGTGGAAGGTGAAGGGTTCGATCCCCGGCTGTGTCTTAGCAAAAGATGTTTAAAGATTGTACTTGTTTTTACCCTGTGTGGCACTTGGCATTAAGGGGCTAAAACAATGACCGGTCGGCTCGGAGTAAGTATACTGTGTCTGAGTGGGGTATTCATGATAAACTGCAGCATGGTATCTCAGTGGGTTAACACTATAAAATCAGCATTTGTCTGGACTAGTACAAGCAGCTAAAAACACACACATGTGCATGCAAGTGACTTGACGTGATGTTGAACCCCATTTCACCTCACCTTGTGGGCAATCAAATCATGAATCAGTGACTATTAGCTACACTTTATAAGCAAGATAAAAGAGTTTTGGCAAGTTAGCAATACCTGTTGCTGAGTTTGTCAGAGTGATATGATGCCATGTTATGTTCCTCCAGTGAACCTGGGAGTGTGGGAGGCATCTCTGGAGAAGCTTGTGGACCTCGTAGAGCCAGTCACAGAAGTAAGTTTTGTTGCTGACTGGACATTTCGGATCGATATCCAATCTCATTGCTATCAGATCTTTTACTTTTTCTCCCTGATACCTGTACTTGACGATCTGACTGCCCCACCATAGAAGGCAGAGCTACAGATAAGCTGCGTATTTGCACAAATACCCCCACCCAAAAAAATATTCAAAACCCAATTACTCTCAATTACCTTGCGTACAGAAACGCATGATTAAATGGACAACTCAAATATATAAAAACAGCATGCGTAAATATCCAATGAAGCTTTCAGCATGCGTACAATGGAGCTAATTTCCGAAACACAATTACAAGCTAATTAGTTTCTGAGTCAAGCCTATAGTTAGAACCCTTACATACATCTTTACAAAACATTATTATCCCATGCCCCAACGAAGTTGGCGGGGGATATAGAAATGGGTTCCGTCCGTGTGTGTGTGTGTGTGTGTGTGTGTGTGTGTGTGTGTGTCTGTGTGTCTGTGTGTCTGTCTGTCTGTCTGTCTGTGTGTGTGTGTGCGTCCCCAAATCGTTTCCGGAGCATAACCCAGAAACCGTTAAATATTTCTCTACCAAACTTTGCATGTCTATCAGACTCATGCTGAACTGGTGCCTTTTGCTATTTAGGAATTTTATAAATTTATATTTTTTACGTTTCCATGGCAACAAGTTGGACTTAGGTTCTATAAGGGTGCTGTTCGTTTCTGGAGCGTAACTAAAAAAACGTTAAATAATTTCTTACATAACTTTGCATGTGTACTAGGCACATACTGAACTGGTGCCTTTTGCTATTTAGGAGTTTTATAAATTTTTATGTTTTACGTTTCCATGGCAACAAGTTGGATTTAAGTTTTAATATAGGATTGGTTTACTTAAGGAGTATAACAAATAAACTGTTAAATATTTCCTTGCCAAACATTGCATGTCTGTATATAAAGCGCATACTGAACAAGTGCCATTTGATATTAAGGAGTTTCAGAAATGTTTATTTTAGAATTTCCATTGCAGCTATTTTGACATGGGCTAAGAGAAATGTTGGGTCATTTACCTGGTTTGGGACCATAACGTGTTAAAATGGGCGGGGGATATAGATGACTTTGTCAACTATACACTTGTTTATTTATTTTTAAATCTCAAAATGTTAGCTCATTTGGGGAAAAACCCAATAGAATGATGAGTAGCTAGGTGAAAAAATATTGATTACCCAATGAAAAACGGAATAACCCAATTAAAATAGAAACCTTCGAATAAAAACTCAAATGAATCCTGAGTGCAATATGTGCCATAACCTTGTGGCCGTCTGCTCTACTCACTGCTTCAGTATCAGACATCTCTATTAAACAGCATGGCGGCAATATGTAGACATGGCTGATGGAGAAATGTAGTGAATACATGATCGTGAGGTATTGAGGAGGTCTTTCATACAGTGGACAGTCTTTATAGCTGCTGGTTTTACAATGAGTCCTGAAGCAAAAAATGTCAACTGTTTAGGCGTCAACAGGGCTAGTACAAATTGCTAAGGTTTTCCTATTGTTATGAGGAGTAGTGACTTAACTACCAATGAGTCAATGAGTGTATCATTTGCATCTTAGGACTTGCGAGATGGAAAAAAGATACGCATGTCACGACGTGAGGTCCTGCGAAGGACAGGAGAGCTGTTTTCTTTACGGTAACCAATATTTTTGTTGCATTTGTAAAGGTGTATTTTTTCAAGTTACTTTTTGTTGAACCAAATTGCGAGATGGTGCTGTGGTTGACACACCATCCTTGGTGATCCAGTGTTTGATATTCCATACCAATAAATACCCAGCACCATTCACTGCCATATAATAATAATCATCATCATCATCATCATCATCATGTGACACATTACATAATGTATGCCACATCCATGTTGCCATGACAAATTAAGTATGACAGACAAGGGGTTCTTGCCAAGAACCTAATGTTGAAAGTGAAACATTAGAATCAAATGCCATGTCTATTAATATTTTGTATTATAAGTATTCATACACAGTAAAATCCCCATGAAGATCCAGGTTAGAATTCGCCTTCTGCAACCCATGTTAGTCATAAAAAGTTACGAACGGAATCGGGTGGTCAGACTCACTGATTTGGTTGATGCATGTTATCGTATTCGAATTGCGTAGATCAAAGCTCATGATTTCAGTCACTGGATTGTCTGATCCAGACTGCATAATTTACAGACTGCCATCAAATAGCTGGAATATTGCTGAGTGTGGCATTAAACAAAACAAACAAACCAACAAGACCAAAGTAAAAAGTCCAGAATATGCCTTGGCTTCAAATCCATTTAACAATGTCTTTCAACCAACCAGACACTCCATTTATTTTATACCAATTGTTAATGTTTGTCCAGGCATGTGATAAATCTGAGTTCTGACCTGCTGGACACACCCGACTTCTACTGGGACCGAGGCATGCTGGAACCGCTGTACCAGAAGGCCTGCAACCACCTCAACATCAGCAGGAGGACCCGGGTAGGCAGCAGCCCCACTCCCCAGCCTCACTCCCAGCCCCGCTCCCAGCCCCGCTCCCAGCCCCATTCTGGTCCAGTCACCTCAGGCACTGCAACCACCTCAACATCAGCAGGAGGACCCTGGTAGGCAGCAACCCCACTCCCAGCCCCGCTCCCAGCCCCACTGAGTATGGTTTTACGCCGCTTTTAGCAATATTCCAGCAATATGATGGCGGGGGACACCAGAAATGGGCTTCACACATTGTACCCATGTCTGGAATCTAACACGGGTCTTCGGCATGACGAGCAAAGGCTTTATTTTACCACTAGGCTACCCGATCGCCCTAGTCAATAAGGACTACCATCATTAGATTTCTACTTGTCCTCAGCACAATTTTGTAGTCTTAGTTTGGCTCTGATTATGATTCTTGGGTTGTCAGCATCATACTCCGTCTCATGTAAGTAGTAAACATCTACAACCTGCATCATTGTGGACTTTCCCCTTCATTAATCTGACACACAAGATTGAAATATTCACTCATACCAGAAACACCACAGAGGGCATTTGATTCTCAAGCACATGAAAATATCACCCTGGCCAGTGGATCATTATGTATTCAAATTGCATTTTCCCATCTTGCTGTACACCCCCCAAAATGCTGGTTTGGCTGTATAAGATCTTGTATTCACTGGAATATATGAGTATCAACCTATTGAAAATATTTAGTTCAAGTGAGTGAGCCAGTTGGGTTTATTGTAATGTATGTCATCAATAGGTCTTCAGCAACCCATGCTTGCCATAAAAGGCGACTATGCTTGTTGTAGGAGGCAACTAACAGGATAGTTTGGTCAGGCTCGCTCACTTGGTTGAAGTATGTCATCAATCCCATATGACATCAATTACTGGATTGCCTGGTCCAGACTCGATTATTTACAGACTGCTGTCATATAGCTGGAATATTGCTGAGTGCAGCGTAAAACAACAAACAAACAATGGCCCAGTTGTCTAAGGCGTCGCAATTTGCTGTTTAGAGTTGCGTCCCTTTGGACATGCCAGGTACCTATAATTGTGGATTTGAATCCAGGTGCGCCCCGATTATGTTTCAAGGTTTGTCCTCACAATACCCATGCTCGTGAGTTTTTTGTAAGTGGTAAACACCTGAGACCCTTATCACTTTGGGCTTTCCTCCCACATTAAGCTGACACACTGTGATATACCCGGTAACTGGAATACTGTTAAAATACTCACTCTTATGTCATATTTCCCTTAGTTGAAGCTTTACAATCACAGTCTGTGACTTTAGCCACTAGTCCAAAGCCCAAGTTTGAAGCCCAAGTCTGGTAACAACACATTTAGTCTAGTGAGATCAGCTAATAATTGTCCATATTATGTTTTAAACTCTACTGTAAAGTTTGACAAGTTCTGGCTACTTGATAAAGTAGTTATTGGTACAGGCTGCTGTCCAGTAAGTCTGTCTTGTTATCCCCCGCCGCGCGAAAGCGCGAAGCGGGGGATATAGTATTCACGACCGTCCGTACGTACGTCCGTACGTCCGTCCGTCCGTCCGTACGTCCCACCTGTTTGTTGCCGCGATATCTCAAGAACTAAACACTGGATTGTCTTCATATTTGGAACTATGGTGTATATACAGACTCCGCAGACACCAGTCGGTTTTGGTGACCTTGACCCCATTTTCAAGGTCACAGCAGGCATATCTGCTTTTGGAGTTGGAAAACGGTGTTGCCGCGCTATCTCAAGAACTAAACACTGGATTGTCTTCATATTTGGAACTATGGTGTATATACAGACTCCGCAGACACCAGTCGGTTTTGGTGACCTTGATCCCATTTTCAAGGTCACAGCAGACAAATCTGCTTTTAGAGTTGGAAAACGGTGTTGCCGCGATATCTCAAGAACTAAACACTGGATTGTCTTCATATTTGGAACTATGGTGTATATACAGACTCCGCAGACACCAGTCGGTTTTGGTGACCTTGACCCCATTTTCAAGGTCACAGCAGGCATATCTGCTTTTGGAGTTGGAAAACGGTGTTGCCGCGCTATCTCAAGAACTAAACACTGGATTGTCTTCATATTTGGAACTATGGTGTATATACAGACTCCGCAGACACCAGTCGGTTTTGGTGACCTTGATCCCATTTTCAAGGTCACAGCAGACAAATCTGCTTTTAGAGTTGGAAAACGGTGTTGCCGCGATATCTCAAGAACTAAACACTGGATTGTCTTCATATTTGGAACTATGGTGTATATACAGACTCCGCAGACACCAGTCGGTTTTGGTGACCTTGATCCCATTTTCAAGGTCACAGCAGACAAATCTGCTTTTAGAGTTGGAAAACGATGTTGCCGCGATATCTCAAGAACTAAACACTGGATTGTCTTCATATTTGGAACTATGGTGTATATACAGACTCCGCAGACACCAGTCAGTTTTGGTGACCTTGATCCCATTTTCAAGGTCACAGCAGACAAATCTGCTTTTAGAGTTGGAAAACGGTGTTGCCGCGATATCTCAAGAACTAAACACTGGATTGTCTTCATATTTGGAACTATGGTGTATATACAGACTCCGCAGACACCAGTCGGTTTTGGTGACCTTGATCCCATTTTCAAGGTCACAGCAGACAAATCTGCTTTTGGAGTTGGAAAACGGTGTTGCCGCGATATCTCAAGAACTAAACACTGGATTGTCTTCATATTTGGAACTATGGTGTATATACAGACACCGCAGACACCAGTCAGTTTTGGTGACCTTGACCCCATTGTCAAGGTCACAGCAGGCAAATCTGCTTTTGGAGTTAGAAAACGGTGTTGCCGCGATATCTCAAGAACTAATTGCTGGATTGTCTTCATATTTGGAACTATAGTGTATATACAGACACCGCATACACCTGTCAGATTTGGTGACCTTGACCCCATTTTCAAGGTCACAGCAGGCAAATCTGTTTTTGGAGTTGGAAAACGGTGTTGCCACAATATCTCAAGAACTAATCGCTGGATTGTCTTCATATTTGGTACTTTGGTGTACAGGCGGGGGATATTTCGTCACTCTGTGACAAATACTTGTTGTATATGTTTTAGGGGTGATGGGGCAGTCTAGTGGTAATAGCATTTTTTAGCCAGATTTGATTCCTCATATGGTTCAATGTGTTTAGCCCACGTCTGGTACCTCCTGATATATGCAGGAATATTGCTACAAGCGGCGTAAAACTGTACTCACCCTCTGTATGTTTTAAAGGGGTTACGAGTGGCCCAGTCGTCTAAGGCGCCGCGATTCGCTGTGCAGACCTGCGTCCCTTGGGCACGCCAGAAACCTATGATTGTGGGTTCGAATCCCGGTTCACCCTGATTATGTTTCTAGGTTTGTCAGCACCATACCTGTGCTCGTGGGTTTTACCGAAGTGGTAAGCGTCTGAGACCTGCATCATTTCGGGCTTTCCTCCCACATTAAGCTGGTTAAGCTAATGACCCGTGAAGATTGAGGGGTATAATAGGTCTTCAGCAACCCATGCTTGCCGTAAAAGGTGACTATGCTTGTCGTAAAAGGCGACTAACAGGATTGGGCGGTCAGGCTCGCTGATTTGGTTGATACATGTCATCGATCCCAATTGCGTGGATCGATGCTCATGATATCAATCATTGTCTGGTCCAGACTCGATTATTTACAGACCGCCGTCATATAGCTGAAATATTGCTGAGTGCGGCGTTAAACAACAAACCAACCAACCAACTAACCATTAAGCTGACACGCCGTGATATAACTGGAATGCACTTAAAAGAGGCGTTAAACCCAACTCACTCACTGACACTGTATGTTTTAAGGTGATGAACGAGAGACTGAGCCATTTGTGTGAGCTGATGGAGCTGCTGAGTACTCACCTGAATGACACGCACCACACACGGTTGGAGTGGATGATCATCATCCTCATCCTGGTGGAGGTAAGGCCGTCCCAGTCATTACAACTCTATAGGATCGACCCCATCTGAATATGTCACTAGCCTAGTGGTTAAAGCGTTCGCTCGTCACACCTAAGACCCGGGTTCGATTCCCGACATGGGTTCAATGTGTGAAGCCCATTTCTGGTGTCCCCCGCCGTGATATTGTGGGAATATTGCTAAAAGCGGCGTAAAATCAAACTCACTTACTCACTCACACCTATGCTTGTTGTGAGAGGCGACTTAATAGATCAAGTGGTCAGCCTCAGTGACTTGGTTGATTGAGTGTATGGATCGTTGCTCATAATATCAGTCACTGGATTGTCGAGTCCAGTCTCTATTTTTTTTTATTTATAGGCCACCATTATATAGCTCGATTTTTACTGAATTATTTGATCTTACACCTCCAAAATATGAACAAGGTTAGACACTAGTGTGTTAGTCTGAGACAAGTGAGAATCAAGAGGGACTAATTGGTTGCTCCTTAAATCTTAACCAACTAGAAATTGAGCATTGGACCATTTGGCTGTGATCAAATTTTTTCAAATGACAAATGTTGTTAATCAGTGATGAATGCACAAGCTCATCGGGAAAAGTGTCTGAGATTTTTCTTTTTCTAAACATGGATGTAAAATTTTCATGTATGAAAGTTATATGAAAGTATTTGATTTTGTTTGAGATAGATATTTTTCAACACAATCTATCTGACACTATTATCGTACTATTTTAAAGGACCTATGTCATATTTTATGAATTTTATGTTCTGTCTACAAAAGTCACAACTTTCTATTTGTCCCTTTCCTTATTCACTGTGGATTCTAGGGTAGAAACATCTTCGCGAGTACAGTTTTCACCCTTGCTGAACTGGGCTGGAATTTCTGGGCTCGATCGTAGTGCCACCAGTGGCTATAATGACATATGGAACCTTGGTCAATGACAGTAATGTGTGCCAATTTTGAACAATCGATTAACATCTGTTGGTTATTTATATTATATATAAAATATGCATAAAAAATCACTTGCATTTTTTTGTTTTTGGCAGAGTATATGTAGAGTTACCTTCATAGATCTGTAGTAATGCGTCTCTGTTGTAGGTTGTGCTTAAGATCGTGCACTATGTAGAGCACTACCTTTACAGATCTGTAGTAATGCGTCTCTGTTGTAGGTTGTGTTTAAGATCGTGCACTATGTAGAGCACTACCTTTACAGATCTGTAGTTATGCGTCTCTGTTGTAGGTTGTGTTTAAGATCGTGCACTACGTAGAGCACTACCTTTACAGATCTGTAGTAATGCGTCTCTGTTGTAGGTTGTGTTTGAGATCGTGCACCACGTAGAGCACTACCTTTACAGATCTGTAGTAATGCATATCTGTTGTAGGTTGTGTTTGAGATCGTGCACCACGTAGAGCACTACCTTTACAGATCTGTAGTAATGCGTCTCTGTTGTAGGTTGTGTTTGAGATCGTGCACCACGTAGAGCACTACTTTTACAGATCTGTAGTAATGCGTCTCTGTTGTAGGTTGTGTTTGAGATCGTGCACTACATAGAGCGTTACTTGTCTGCTGACCAGCAATACCAACAGGACATGGCTGTACAAGAAGGCCAACAATCTTCATGAGCCGTGTTATTATCTTGATTATGTTTCCTTGTATACCTATACCATAGAAAATAATAAACATATACATTGATATATTACATGCGATGATGATATATTTATGTGATGTATTTTGTTTTTATAACCCACTCTTAAAGAAGGGCATGATTTTGTGAAAGAGCTGTTTGGTAAAGGACTGGTCATTTCATTTGGGAGGAGATTTTGCTGACCTCCTATTTTAAGTAATACGTTCATGCTCTTCTCCCAAAACAGTAACATTTGTCCTTGAATAATTAATAAATTACCAGTCACTTAATATTGTTCAAATACATGACTTTGTTATTTGAAAAAATAGAAAGTGTCATTTTTTCAAGTCCCCACGTTATAGTTATATAGTTGGGACATATTTTGGCGATCCCCCTCTTTCCCTGTGATGTCCCAAATCAAACAGACTTTTTACACACTTTGCTACTGATGTCTCTATACTTGTAAATGGACATACCACTGTTTGTGCCCTGAGATAGAAGTGATGGCTGCTGTATATTGGTGCAATATTTTTGCAATATTTTTGCAATATTTTTGCAATATGTTTCTTTATGAAGTGGCGAATTTCTATAGATATACTAATTAATGCAAATTCAAACAGTAAGATTGAAATGCAGAAGAGGAATGTCTGGATTTACATTCTACCTTGTGTAATTTATTCAACCCTTCAATTTTGAAAAGAAATTAAAATTGCTTCTTTCATCCGTCAATGTATTTATTTTAATCACAAACCAGGAACAACGTTACGTAAATTCAGACCAATTTATATGACGTATATATCTGACATTCTGTTTATTGGGCACTATTAGGAGAAGCTTATAGTAAAAACACACACAGCTTTAATCACAGGCTCTTCACAATAATTTTAAGAAACTGATATTAAATGACTACCTGTGGAATTATGTACAGGTAATCACGGGGACTGGACACATCCTGAAGCTCATTGCATCTTATGAATCACACCTGAATAAGAAGCAGCTTATTCTCACTCTTCCAGATACTTCATACATAAAGTACAACAAGCACCAGCTATACACAGCTCAAGGTTTGAAAGTGGCACTGACAAGTTAGCTGTGATCATGATTAATCAAGGGCTATTGAATAATGGTAGTACGTGAATGTTGTTTAACGCGGTAGTCCCCAATATTCCAGCCAGATTACACCAAATCTCTTGTAGGTAATATGAGCTACGTCACTGAGACTGACCACAAGATCCATCATAGTCGCCAGATATATCCTGCAATAGAATGCTGTGGTATATGAGTAATATACTATAATCGTCAACATTCTAATTTATCTGGTAAGACAGAAAGATACGACATCAAAACGAATATTTTCAGAAGTCATTGCTAAGTACAGCTGCAACGGTTACAGTATTGACATGAGTATACAAGAAGCAACGTCAACATGGAACTTAGTGAAGCATTCATTTCAGTATTGATTAATCCAAGATACTGTATCTCCTCCAGGTTGGCCCATCCTCATAACACCAACGTGGCACACTGACTGAGGGACTGATGGTTCTGAGTTTGTTAGTTTGTTTGTTGTTTAACTCTATTGTCTAGTATGTAACCATGTTACAAAACAACTCCCAGTCATGTTCTGTGTATCTGAAAATTTATGTCAAATCATGTCCTCTTAAAAAACATCTTTCCATCGGTAAGTTTAAACACAAGTCCCAAAACACATATTTCATGGTTTGTTTGTTTGTTGTTTAACGCCACACTCAGTAATATTCCAGCTGTATGACGGTGGTCTGTAAAAAATCGAATCTGGACCAGACACTCCAGTGTTTGACATCATGAGCATCGATCCCCGCAATTGGGATCGATGACATGCATCAACCAAGTCAGCGAGTCTGACCACCCGATCCCGTAAGTCGCGTCTTACGACAAGCATAGTCGCCTTTTACGGCAAGCATGGGTTGCTGTAGATCTATTCTACCCCGGATCTTCACAGTACGATGGTTCTGAGACCATATAAAACGCACAATATGAGACGGGAAGAATGGACGATCACTCTTCACTATGTTGTGTTTGTAATGCTGGGTATGTGGAGGATGAGTATCATTTTTTGTTAGTTTGCTCCGGTTATAACAAGCTACGCATGGATCACTTAACACAAACTTTTTTTATGAATATCCGACCATACAAAAATTTAACATCATTATGTCTACAACTGATTGTAAATTAATTGAACGTCTAGCTATCTATATCTATCAAGCGATGTCACTTCGTAGTACATTATTGTCACAACAATAACAGCTGTGTATATCACGTCCATTGTAATACAAAGGTAACTATGGGCCGATGGCCTACACTTACGAAATAAACCGAATTGAATTGAATTGACGATCACTCCAAATGATGGAGAGAATGGCATTGACTTTCTAATAATAGCTCCTGCAACAATAATACTTAACAAGTGACATATAGTGTTAATGTAAGTATATAGGTATGACTACCTCAGTTAACAATTAACAAGCCATCGCAGTGGTGATATGATCCGGGGTAGAATAGGTCTTCAGCAACCCATGCTTGCCGTAAAAGGCGACTATGCTTGGCGTGAAAGGCGACTAACGGGATCGGGTGGTCAGGCTCGCTGACTTGGTTGATGCATGTCATCGATCCCAATTGCGTGGATCCATGCTCATTATATTAATCACTGGATTGTCTGGTCCAGACTCGATTATTTACAGACCGCCGCCATATAGCTGGAATATTGCTGAGTGCGGCGTTAAACAACAAACCAACCAACCAAGAACGGCGACATGCCTGTTTCATGACAATCGACAGTGACAAAGTGTTTACATTCTTGAGTGCACATACAAGTACATTTATTCTAGAGCTTGTTAGTTACTGCTGCTGCCACACAATTGACAAATGGTATTGTCTTTTGTGATTGTAATCCTAAAAACTGTGGTTTTGAGTGCAATTTGTGGATTATACCTTGATCTTGTGTGGTCATTTACTGATTTCACAATTTAGTCCTGAACCGGTTTCTGTGTTAACCCCTTTGTTTCAATCTGGACTGACTAAACCAGGTATTTTGGTTAAATGAAGTTTTAAAGAAACCTTTTGAAGTGGTTTGCACCATAACAATAACCCTGAACGTCGTGGAGCTTTTGTCCTTAAAAACGTTTTAAAGTTATTGAAAGTACAAGTATACAGTAAAATGCATTTCTCCAATCACAAAGATAAGTTTTTTGTCTCAGATTGGTCAGAATTCAGACACTCACTTACATCATCACAAAATAGAAACAATTAACGCCGACTCCCTTTTATCTGTCCGTTAGAAAAGATGTTCCAGACAGGTGCAAAGATGTCAATATCATTCTGCCTTGTTCTTCTGAATGGCACTCTCCAGATGTCACAGTTAAAAATCGTGATAAACACTTACCGATTTGATGCTGTAGGCGACAGCCATTCTACAAATGTCAGTGTCCTTTAGTTTTGGTAAATACATCTCCATAAAGACACAAAACACAAGTCGGCCTTCATTACATCCGATGGTAATGGAATCGCCCCCCTTTCGAACTGAAAAATGTTCTCTTCAGCAACCATTTTAGAAGCACTAACAGCAAGGAATTTGCGTTACATACTAATATATGTAGATGACATCATGGCATTTTCGGAACATTTGAATTATCTCAAAGCAGTATTCCAAAAGATCAAAGAAGCAGGACTCACTGAAAAATACCAATCAAATGTAATTTCGCGACAAAACAAGTCACCTACTTCAGGCATGTATTTAGCAAAGATGGCATTCATGTCGATCCTTCAAAATTAGATTCAGTCACACAGGTCCCACCCCCTTAAAATGTCCGTGATCTGTGTCATTACTTTGGGTTGGCCTCGTTTTTATTTTTAATTTGCAGCAAACTTTTCTGGCATTGCCCTCCCTCTATACAACCTTCTGAAAAAGGACGCGTCTTTTGATTGGTCCAACAATTGCCAACAGGCATTCGAAAGGCTAAAAGAGACAACATACTGACAACCTGTATTACCATTTGTCTATTATGACAACAACGCCCGAGCTCACCATGCAGGGTCGTCAGTGCTCACCTCCATGCCATGGAATGCCATAGCTAGCTGTGAGCACAGGCATTTTCCCCAGTGAACATGTCTGGTACATGATGGGAGACTTGTACCTCAACGTCATAGGCCGCCGACCACGTTGGCTGAACTTGGCAAGGAACGACAACATGGGCGGAACAGACACCTACAAATCCCCATTTGGAGACTCATATGCAGTATTCCTCATCGAGTGAATGAATGTTTGACAAATTGTGGCCGTGTTACACACTACAGACAAAAACATTGAAATGTCCAATGTTACTCCTACTGTCTTTCAAGATCGTTGGTGGTCCAAAAATCTGTCATACTTCACTACCAGTTGTAATGTAGTCCCAATAAGTTCATTTTTATCATACCACTATTACCAGAAACTAATATCTCTCACAATTTTGGAAAATGTAAGTTATTCCGAGTATACCTTACTTTTGATGACCATGATTTGTCAAAAGATGAGCAGTGAAAACATTTCAACATAGATTGTCTGTATGCAACAAGCAATCAACAATATTAGCACCAAGTGAGAACGGAAGGATGTTATTGCAGTTTGTATTCGTTTAAAGAACAAGTTAACATAGAGGAGCATTTTTTTTGGTTTTGTATTCAACATTTGTTACTCTCTTACCTTGTGGATAAGCAGTAAGAAAACATGATATATATGTCAGAGTGCATTGTGACGTCAAAATAGCATAACGGTATAAATAAAATGAACTCCAGAAAATCACTTCGTGAAACCGTTTTTTAGTAAATTTAGTAAAACTCTCTCTCTCTCTGATTTAGCATTGTTTATTGCGCATTCTATTATTTTTCTAGGGTAGTTTCTTTCTAGTAGTAAATCCCTCAGTTCTTTGAGACTACATTGTGCTCAATCTGAATTAGATACTTCGGCGCAGGTTCTACGTGCTAATGTGTAAGGGACATTGTTTTTTAATGACAGGATGGACAGGGATTGTAATGAGGTTTTGTTTGTAACCCGTTGGTTTGTAATATACATCTGTTT